ATACAATATATTATGCTCTCAGGAGATAAGATCATTTGCCATCAGGAAGAACAATACGCGGAGATATTTTAGACTGTGATGACATCTTCTCTGGTCCCCTGTCTGAATGCAGTCCCAGGCTCCAGCCTCGGAGCACTCAGGCCCACCAGCTCTCCCACTCTTCATGCAGCCCCAATTTTTGCTGCATGGGGCTTCTCCTTGGCCCCCACCATGGTCCCAGAGCAACAGTGAGTAGGGATCAGAACCTTTTGTAGATGGAGAAGAGGATCTTTCAAGACAGAAGCCATGTCTAGAATTAGAATGTAATTTTCCAGGCTCTCTGCCTCTGTTGATTATCTCAATCAACAGCTGGTCCCTAGGGCCAAAACATCATCTCCGAAGCTGCAAAGGTAACCAGAAGCCTTGCAGGGTGGGGAGCATGGCCCTCAGAGGCTGATGGGAATGAAGAGGCCTGGAGCACCTTGATTCTGGTGGATCAGAACCAGCATGCCCAGGTCACAGCCTTTTGAAGAGGAGCAGGAAGAGGAGATAGAGGAAGGCCTGATGGACTCCCTACCACTCAGATATGACCCAGACACCAAGGTCAGCAGCCTGACTCCTTACTCAAGGATCAGGGCCAGACTCAGACGTGTCTGGTGTCTCCCTGCTCTCCCTGAGTCCCAACTGTGAGCAGAACACACTTCCTTGCTTACAAAAACCCCATCTTAACAGTAGCACTCAAGACAATACCCCCTCAGACTTCCCTGGTTGTCCAATGGTTAAGACTCTGCACTTCCAGTGCAGGGGGTGCAAGTCTGATCCCTGGCTGGGGAACTAAGATCACACACGCCACATGATGTGGCCAAAAATAAAATAATCAAAATAATAAAAAAATAAGATTAGGAAAAAAAAAAATAAGATTAGGGACTTCCCTGGTGGTCCAGGGGTTAAGAATCCGCCTGGCAATGCAGGGAACATGGGTTCAATCCCTGGTTTGGGAAGATCCCACATGCCTCGGGGCAACTAAGCCAGGAAGCCACAGCTTTTGAGCCCACAGGCTGCAATGACTGAGGCCAGAACCTAGGACAGAGGATGCTGTCTTATTTTTAACTTTTTTCTCCCTTGTTAAAAATTTTTTTATTATGATGATTTATTTACTTGGCTACATTGGGTCTTCACTGCAGTGCAGTAACCCCAACTCGCAGCAACTAGGGAGAGCCCATGCACTGCCTTTCTCTTCCAGCTGCTTCCGGAAGGGGAAAGCCCACTGGTCTGAACCTTGCATCCTTCATTACAGCCCAAAGAAGGAAAAAACAAGCAGGCTGATGGCAGAGGCAAAGGTTGTTTTTGTTACCTTTTTGGGGTGAGGAGGAGGAAGAACTCAAGTTTCAGATCAACTTTGAAAAGTGGGTTCAAGGTGAGGACACTGGCAAATTGGAGACTGAGGCAGTGTGTGAGGGGGTGGGAGGGGGGGTGCAGGAGTGTCCTCATGGTCACCATGGCGAGGCCTAAAGCTGAGGCCAGGGGAGCCAGTACCCTTGGCCACCCACCCGCATGGCAGGACCAACTCAGATCCCTCCATTTTCTTCAGAAGCTGCCGACAGCAGCTAGCCCTCCTTGGACAAAGCCACATTCTTCGTCTATCACCAGGGGTCTTTTTTCTTTCTGCTTTAATCTAAAGTTGCAGGGAAATTTTAAACTACCAGCTGAGGCAATTTCTGAAATTGCTGACAATCATTTAACAGGCTTTGCAAGCATCCCCTCTTGCCAGGGGGGTGGGGCAGTTCAGGCTGAGCCTGAGAGAGGGCATTTGCTGGGCTCTCCCTGGAAACCACAGCTCTGTTTCCCCCAGCTGGGCCACCGGAGCTTGGCTAAGAGTTAGAAGACCTTGGGTGATCTCCCTGACCCATGTCCTCACCTTCTATGCTCCTCCAGGCAAGCTTGGCTGAAAAAGAGCTTTTGTTTTCCCTTCACCTGCAGCACTGCCTTCAGGAAAAGGGGAAAGAAATGTTGCCACTGCAGGAAAAAAGATTCAACCACAAACATGTCTGTAGACTGGGCTTAGGTGGGGAGGAGGGAGTAGGTAGGGGTGAAGCAAAAGTTCCCAGAGGCCACAGCTCCTCTGTGTTTGGCAGGTTTATAATTCCACTCACAGAGCAAATGACGGGCTGGTGGGGAACCCCCTGCTTGATGCCCCTCCATCCTCTCATGGATTCCCGGCCATACCCGATGAGGTGAGTGTTCTAATGCCCATTTTTAGACAAACTGAACTGAAGCACAAAGGGATGAACTACCTTGCTCAAGGTCATGTTTGACGTGGTGCTGGGTCCATCTTCAAGATCCTTTCTGGAGCCCCCACACAACCTGCCTTCCTAATTCTCAGGGGAGAAGGAAAATAGGGCTGTTGAAAGAAAGAGAAAGGAGTGTGATAGAGCTGACGTGCAAGTGAGCCTGACAGGGTGAGGCCCAGGAGGTAGAGAGGTGAAGAGATGTGAAAGGTTGGAGGCCAGACAGGTGTTGCTGGGCTCCAGAGCACACTCTTAGAACCAGACAAGGCAGGAGCCAAGGAAGAGGGATGGGCGTGTGTTTACTAATGCCACGTGTTTGGGGTTTAGTGCCTTCTGGGTGTGACAGCACTAAAGAAAAGGGTTAAATCACCAGTATCTGTGATGTCCTTGCTCCTTTTTTCTTTGCCAGGACAGCCATAAACAGGCCTGGAGTTGGGTCAACGGGAGCGAGGGTGGGGAGAAGAGAGCCTGGGCTGGCGTTAGAGTGGAGAGCGTCAGGGGAGGACTGGCTGAGGGTGAGGAGCAGAAGAGAAAGATGGTAGACAGGTGGGTACACAGGACATACAGGAAGCCTTGCTAGTGGCTGTTCTCTCTGAAGCTTCCAGAGCTACATTTGCCTGTCCGGCCTCTGTTCTCCTTCCATCCCCCTGTGCCATGCTGGGTGTGTTAGTGACAGATGAGGAAACCAAGGCACAGAGAGACAAGATCTGCCTATGGTTACAAAGTGATGGAGTGGCTGAAGTCAGCCCCCTTCCCACTCCTTGGTGATATCATCTGAGGTCAAGGCCTCCAACAGAGAGGACCATGGGGAAGAGACAACTTTTTCTTTGTAACGCAACATAATTTGGGGCCAGATTTGTTTCTTCCAAATATCTGTTACTTATGCCAGTGGCTGTGCAAAAACAATTTCCTTAAATTCTTTAAGATGAGATGAAGATTGGGAAAGGGGGAGGAACTGTGGGAGAAAAAGTCATGGAAGGTCAGGGAGGAGGTTTAAAACATTCAGACTTTTGGATTTCAAACTTGACAGGGTTTTGTTGTTGTTTTAACAGAAAGAACTCCTCTTTCAAGCAAATTCTTAAGAGTAATCCCCAGTTTTCATTCCAATCAGAAGGGTGCTGCTCCAGTTGGCATAGGAGCCGGATGACCCCTCTGCCCTTTGGGCGCAAGGTTATCAAAAGAGCTCAGATCTGGCCCTTGTGAACGAGGGAGGAATGGGGCCCAGAGGTTGACGGTACCTGCTGTGTGCCACGGTTGGTACAGTGAGGCTTGTTCAAGGTCACCCAGTAAGTTAGAAAAGGGCAGCCAGGCTGGGGTATAACCATGCATGCGACACCATGGGCCGCTTAGAAAGCAAAACCCTGCTTGTGTACTTCAGAAGGCGGACATGGACACAAGTGGACCTCCCTGGTGGTGGTGCAGATGGGAGGAACCTCTAGATGCTCCCTGCAGGGCCTGGCTCTCGGCCCTGTGTTTGCAGGGTTGCTGCAGGGAGAGCTGAGGGGAGGGGAGGCAAGGATGAGTGCCCAGTATGCTAGGGCATCTTGCATAAGACCCGCGTGATGTCACTCCAGGTTACAAAAGAAAAAAGGAAAAAAAGGAAAAGCCAGCAGCTCTGTCCCCTCTATGCCCCTACCCCCCCATCCCACCCAAAGCCTAACATCTGCACACCTGCAAGAACATCCTCTTGTCACTGGAGAGATGCCACCTAGGGAATCTCACAAGTCATGCCAGGAAGAAAGGAATCTTCGGCTCTAGTTCAGGAACATAAAAAGGGTGCTGTGCTAATCTGGTTTGTTCTTAAAATTGTTGTCAATGCCCTGGGGGGGAACAAAAAGGAAAGCTGTTTTAGCAACATTCCCTAGCTTAGTTGAGATTTGTGGAGGAAAACATCCCATCTCCCTCATGGTGACAGTGCTTTGGTTCTCCTGCGTCCTTGTGGCTCTCCCTGACCGGCCGTGCCAGGCCCAGACGCGAGTGTACCCAGAGACCAGGGAGAGTGAGGACAGTCAATGATGGGGTTCGCAACAGGCACCTATGGAGAGGACTGTGGCTCCTGTGTCACCCAGAGTTGTTTCGTAACTCTCCTGAAAGACGCCCTCTGGTACCCAAGTGCCACGCTCCCTGGTGTGACCTGTTGTGATTTTCAGAAGGGAGTGCAGAGAAGTGAGGAGCCGTACTGAGTCATGCTTTCATCGCAGAGTCCCCTTCTCTCCCGCCCAACACGGCTGTGTGGAGGCCACATGCTATTAGTTCCACATAATTGAAAAGTGTGTCAGGATCTCTCAAACATGAACCCAAAACATGCTGCTCAGTTGTCACCTCCAACGTGACTAATGCAGTCGTGTCTTAATTAGTCACCGCTCACTGTGCTGACAGCGTCAGAGCCCCATTCCAAGGCCCGTTTGTGGTGCAGATGAGATTAAAGGACCGAGGCTTGCCAGGTTCTCAGGTCCCGTTCCCACTGAGCCCCTGCCAAGTGCATTGGTCAGATCAGGGCAGCACTGTGACAGTACAGTCAACAGGAGGGAGGGAGGTACTGAGACAAGTACATGGTGGGCTAGAAGATTCCCTCATAAGTTAGTCGTTACGTCACAGGCCCAGGCAGCTCCTGCGAGGCCAAAGTGGCAACTCTGGCTGAATCACACCACCTGCCCAGCCAGCCCCTGCCCGGTGACAGCTGATAGAACTGGGCACTCACCTGCCCCAAGGATGGCCCCTCCACTGGTTCACTTATGACCCTGCGCCCACAGTAGCCACCCTATGAAGATAACCTGGGCCAATTCCATTTCTCTTCAGGGGCTCTGCATTCACAACAGAGCTTACAGCCAAAAGGAGAGACTGTGGGCCCAGACTGTGGGCAAAAAGAAAGGTGGTGAAAGAGACTGCCTCATCAGTGGAAGAACATGGATCACTGTTTTGGGCAGAAGGGGAAAGCAGTGAATAAACTGCCAGTCCTGTCAGTCCGAGACACAGACGTCTGCATCGCAGGGCCGAGGGAGCCAGCCACTCTTTCCAAGTCGGGATCACCATCCAGTCACGTCCACCAATGCGGGGAGAACTGTTCTGATGACGACTAAAAATGATTTACATACCTAAGGTACTTGCCCACCTTTCTTTCGAAATTTAAGAATTTTTTGTTTCGTTTTTAGAAAAAGTGATATAAAAGATCTTCACACAAATGTGGAGAAAATAATTTACTCATTTTAAAATTGGAAAATTGACGTGAAACTAGCAATATGAATACACTGGTTTAAAAAAAAAAAGGGTCGGAGGAAGGAGGTGCCCTGGTGAACTAGGTAGGTAAGTGGCAGCGGGTGGGGCAGAGCATACACACAGGAAATTGGCATTAAACTAGCAATATAAACCCAAGTTTAAAAAAAAAAAAAAGAAAGGCAGGAGGAAAGAGGTGCCTTGGTGATCAGGCTGGTAAGTGGCAGGGGGTGAGGTAGAGCATACACACCACCAGAGCCTGGAGTCACCACTAAGGAAGCGTTAAGTGGCACAGCAGCAGCCCCTCACGGAGGGACTTGACAGGCCAAGCCCCACGTCACCAACACATGTGTGGCCAGGGCAGCACAGAAAGATGAAATGCGGTCGCTCTCACCATCAGAGGTTTCTGTTTCATAAATGGATGTGCTTTAGAGACTTGCTTCCATGGAGAGGTAGCCTCACTTATATTTTAAGCGGTGCTTAAGGCCTGAAGTGTGATTCCCCCCCCAGTTCCTTCCTGGGTAACGTGGGGTAACTCAGCACCCTTGTAGGCCAGCCCCTGCAGACCCAGGTGCAGCTCTAGGGGGCGGGGGGTGAGGAGGAGTGGGGAAGCCCCAGAACCAGTGGTCGGGCCCAGCTATGCTGCAGGGAGCAGCTGGGGTGGAGACAGAGACCATGGGCCACACAGGGCCTGCTGCCCAAGTGCTGGAGCCCAGGAGGCAGGTGTTAGTAATGGGAAAACACCCGCTTTCCAAAAGCCTGGGCCATGAGAACTCCTCTTTCTATAAACGAGGAAGCAGGCCACAGCAAAGAGCCCTGGGTGACCATCCCAGCTGGCCATCTCTCCAGAGGAGCTGGCCCTGCCTGGCAGCCAGCCTGTGCTGACAGCAGCACCTGGCTGGCTGTTTGGAGACTAGATGAGATGCGCCCTCGCTATCAGATGCAGAGCTTCTCCGGGCAGAAAAGCAGAGTGGGAGCTGTAGAACTCATGCTCCTGAGGAGCTAGGGAGTCAGTGATGCTGCTCAGGCAAGGGTGGCTCTCTTCCTAGAGCTGGGCACAGATGCCGTGAACATGAGCAGAACTGGCCCTGGACCCTGACTCAGGTGAGGATGACGGGGTATGCCAACCCTGGTTTGCCAAAAAAGCTGGTCCCAAAGCCCCACCCCAGAGATGCAGATGCCAAAGGTCTGGAGGGGTCCTGGAAACCTACATTTCTGACTTGCAATCCAGGAGATTGTGAGGAAGGTGGTGTGAGGCCCACACTTCGAGTCTGGGGTTAAGTGGGACGGGGCTGAGTGACAGGGCCCTAGCAGAGAGAAAGGTGGTCAACGGCAGCAGAGAAGGAAATTGTGAGGGCTGGAGGCTCATGTCTGTGTTCAAGAGAGCAAAAAAGCACTTGCAAGGGAGGGCTGCTTTCTCTATGTGCCACCTACCCTACCCCATGGAGCAATCAGTTCTTCTGAGCTGGGCTGACCCTGCCTGACAACACAGGACCAGGCCCATGCTTCTGGAGGGCCTCTGACTGCTCAGTGATACCTTGCATTTAGCTACTGTCCCTGCAACTAATACAAAGTGTTCTCTCTTTGACGAGATACACAGGTGTCCAAGTAACTGGGTCCTAGTCTCAGGGCACTGGTGGGTCTTTATCCTTGGCCTCTTGGCACTGGCTCTGGGCCAGTGGATTTATTTTTACTTGATTAAAAAAAAATTTAAGTAACAGTTTATTTTGTATTGAAGTACAGCCAATTAACAATTCTGTGATAGTTTCAAGTGAAGAGTGAAAAGACTCAGCTATACCTATACATGTGTCCATTCTCCTGGGTCATTGGATTTAAATTTGTGTACTTCAGGCAAACGGCCATCTGATTCAAGCTGCCCTGTTCTCTGGGTGTAAACACAGAAGGTTTGGGGACATCAGGGCTAGGTGATTATTAACTATCATCACCTAAGATATAGTTTGCACATGTAGCTCCAAAGGCCAATTACATCTAATTAATAAATTAATGGTATCAATGAATATATTAACAACAGAAGAAAAATGCCTTGCTGCCTGATAACAAAGCCTGGTGACCTCACCTGCTGGATGCAGGGCACAGAGGCAAACCTTCACCTGGGCTCACACTGTGGCCTGGAGGACCAGACCTGCAGGCCTACCAGCCTTGTCCTGGGGCTGGAATTCAGGTGCACTGACCAGGGCCGGAAGTAAGGGGTCAGTGGGAAAGGGGCGTGATTCAGTGATACCTGCCATATAGAATTTACCCTATTTTATTCTAATGGAAAAAAGACACCTCTACTCAACTCTAGTTGTCACCTGTATAACCTCTTCATGAGAACTTACAGCCAACTGCAAAGCGGGCTTCCCTTCAGGGGACAAGACAGCTCACGAAGGATCACAGTGTCCTCTCTCCAGTGGCCAGGCCAGAGATGAGCTGGCTTGCCCCTGCTGTGAGAAGGCACGTGGTAGCCTTTGGGAGGACAGCCATGAAGGGGACAGATGTTGACTCCGCCTGGCTAACTGAGGGAAATGTGAGCTAAAAGCCTCTGTGTCTTCATTTCTTGGATTTCTCATTAACATTTCTCCGTCACTAAAAAGCCAGGCCACAGTGGGGAAAGCCACAACTCCAGGGCCAACTCTGTTGTACATCACAAAACACCAAGTCTCCTTCCTGCTGCTATAGAATATGGTAAGTACTCCTGTGGAGGGTAAAGTGGCTATATCTGTCCTTCTGAGCTAGATGATTATTAACGATTGACATCCAAGATAGAATATGTGGGGAATGTAGTTCCTAAGGTTAATCACACCCAAGAGGAATTAATACATTACTCAAAAAGAAAAATGCCGATTACAACAAAATGGTGAAAAAAATAATTGTATCTATTTTAAAATAACTTTTTGGTCTTCCCTTAGAAATGGAACCCCTTCCTATCTGAAACCTCAAATGGATGCTAAGTGTTTGGTCTGGTGGTTCAGTCTGGTGGTTCGCTCCGATGACTCACCTGCCTGGGTTGGTCTTACTGCACTGCAGACCCCTGGCCTGGCTCCCCTCCACAGAACACGTGTTCCACCCACAAGACCACCCCACAGCTGGTCCAGGTGCCACAGGGCTTCCACAAGGTCATGTCGTTTTGTCAGCGAGTTTGGGCATGCCTAACTGAGTCCTAAGAAAGTGAATCAGCTTGGTTTCTGTGAGGAATGCTGTCCCGAGGGTCACTCCCAAACAGAGGGCCCCCACAGCGATGTGTGCCAGCCGGGCTAGCCAGCCCCACTCACAGCAGAGGAAAACCTGTGGAAAGAAAGCACCGTCACTCCCTGGCCCCCCAGTCATATCTCCTTCCTTTGGGGCAAGCCAGGGAGAGTGGAGACTCTACTACTCCAGCTTCAAGTCAGGAAAAGGTGTGACAGCTATGGACTAGGGTCTACTCTGTTCCCACAGGTACCACTGCTCAGTCATTTCTATTCCAAGATGCTGGCCTGAAGCTTAGGGGAAGGGGTACGAGGAAGCAAGTACTTGTACAGCTGGTTCAGGCAGAATAGGAAGGGGATGTCTGGAACAAGGGAGAGTGGACAGACTGCAAAAGCATGTGGTGTGAAGGCTATGGGGAGTCTTACCTCTGAAATAGCAGTAATGCCACCACTGAGGGCAAATGTCCCGAGGAGGACTGGTGACAGGAACAGGCCAGCCAGGGGCCTATGGGGGCTCTTCTGGTAGTAGCGGTGGATGAAGTAAAGGCTCTGTGTGATCCGAATGCCCATGTTGAAGCAGTTGGCCAAGATGAAGCCCACGCTGCCACACCAACGGGTCAGGACATAAGATAACATCAGAAAGGAAGACGACAGGGCCAGCATTGTAAAATTGTACCTGGGGAGAGGGAGGCAGGCAATGCAGGCCAGTGGGTACCTCGGTCAAGGCAGGGCTGCTGCAAGGAAAGGGGCCGTGAATGTGAATTCACCTCTGAGATCCCATGATCCAGGAGATTTTTACATCAAATGCTAAGTGGATAACATGGAAACATCACTGTCCCCCTCAGCCCTGAATAGAAGAGTAAAAAAATGAACAATTCAACATATTTATGGTGTTTAAGGATAGTAACTGGTTAAGTGACACTTTGTAAACAAATGCATAAAAATCCTGTTCAGCTTGCCTTCAATGTGAGGCAAAGAATATGACATGGATTAACGGTTTCATGTGAACAGCCACTCTGAAAGGTACTGTGAGTGCTGTTGGGGATGCGCTGGTGGATGAACACAGGGCCCTTTTCCTGTGGAGCTTGAATCCATTTTACAGACAAGGAAACCGGGCCCAGAGAGGCTGAGTAATCTGCCTAAGGAGTGAACCAACAGCCCAACCTGACCCCTGGCCCCTAAACTTTAGCGCTGCTTCCTTTGGGAAAGGCAGAAGCCCCGTAACCTTGGCCAGCAGATCTCACTCAAAGCAAGTGACCAGCTTCCAAAACAGAATGGGAAGAGGAAGCAAGGCCTGGCCCACTGTCAGGGTTTCCAACTCTCACACATCTCTCCGTGGCTCTCCACCTTTCTAGAGCCCTGTGGGTCCTGTGACTGGAGGGCTTACACTGTTCCTTTCACTTTTGATTCCAGGGCAGTACATCACTCAGTTATCTTCAGTTTTCAGCTCTCGACTGAGTCTCAGAAAAGATAAAAGTCTTCCAAAAGGCTTGTGGTACAACCATGAACCAAATTCTCCAGCATCTTGTTTCTGCTGAGCACACAGTAGGCAATCTAAGTGTATAGTTGTTGAGGAAACCAAACCCCTTAGATCCCCAAGCTGTGTCAGCTGGGTTAGGAAACCTCAGAAACCACCACTCAGCTTCTGCACAGGAAGGCAGGGTGGCGAGAATGCCACTGGGTCCCCCAAATGCCTGGGTTCCTGTCCTTTGGGTGACTAAGCCCAAGGTGCTATGGGAGACGTAATTATCGGAGTGTGTGGCATCAAGAACACACAGGCACACCTATACTCTAACAGGGGACAGTGCTTTCATCCAGAATTCCAGAGAAGTAATTCATTTGCTTGTCAGTCGACATGGTTTCTTTTTAATGAGTAAAGGAAGTACAAGAGCCCACATCTTCACAAAGGAAGCTTCTTCACTAATGATAATCAATAATCAGAATGGCCAACTTTATAACAAGTCACTGAGGGTGGGCCCATACTCTGACCAATTTTCCAAAAAGAAGACGATGTGTAATGTTTGGTTCTTCTTCAGACCATGGGTTCATAAACTTTCAAAGTCATGTTCACCCAACTCCAAGCAGAAGGGAAACAATGAATGAAACTGGTAGCGAATCCATGTTAACTTCAGCAGGTACAAATCACCATGTGGCTTCTTTGGTGTAGCCACTTGGGAGGTGCTAATGATGAGGAAGTCTACGGTTTCTCATTAGAAGAAGGCTCTGCAACTGTTGAACATTCCAACAGTTCACAAATCTATAGCCTTAAAGGCATTATCCACTTCAGGATAAAATAAGAATTTTAAAGATAAAATTAAAATGCCACTTTGTAAATCAATGGAAAATTAGTCAGCAGCAATGATTATTTTCTAAGGTTTGGTTAACATAAACAGGAAGTTATCTTTAATCAGGTTTATCAAAAGATAAGCAACTGAAATGTCCCCCAGTGAGTGTTGGCTGAAAACATCAAGGCACAGCCGTAACAATGTAGCCCAGGTAAGCATGGAGAGGACGGCGTGGGCCTCTTATGCGCCTTGGTGAGAAGACAGTACTTGTCCTTCGTTCAGTCAACAGTTATGGAGTCCAACTCCACGTGGGGCACTCAAGGGCCACAAGTCAGACAAAGGAACTGTCAATCCTCGGCCTCTGAATCACTGTCCTCTCTGCCTGAAGGTTCTAGCCCATCTACGCATAGCAGACTCTTCCTGGTCATCGAGGCCTCAGCCTAATGGAACCTTCTCAGAAAGACCTCCTGGCCTAAAAGGGCTCCCACTCTCACCACATAACCCTGTTTTAGTTCTCCATAGAGCACAATTTTCTTATCGATTAACTTGTTTGCTGTCTGCTTCCCTTATTGTCAGCTACAGGAGAGCAGGGAATCACATCTGTTTTGTTCATGGCTGTACTCCTGTAGCTTAAAGCAATGCCTCTTAGAGAACAGATACTCAAAAAAATTTGTCAAATGAACAAAAAAAAGAGACAGCCTTAACAAAACACAAGATTCTTCAATGGGGCGTAATGTAAAGCCATCAGTCTTCTATATAGATTATGAGGCTATTAACAAAAAAGGAACTTGCAGCTCAAAGGACATTCTACTATTTCACATCCAACCAAATGCCTTATTTTTATTAAAAAACAAACACTGATTAACCTGTAGTTCAATAAGTAAAATAGATAAAAGCTACTCAATTGTACTACAAAAAAAATCTTACTACTGTTTCATGTCTGACTAAATTCATAGAAAGGAAAAAAAGACTGAAATCAGTGATGGGCCCAGGTACTCCATGTGTTCAGAACAAGACTGGGGCTTGGGGCCAGGAGCCCAGACAAAAAGGGGGCTACTGTGTTTAATACAAACTTGGAGACCATGCTTAAAACCACATTTTACTCTTAGGGGAAGTGAGTTACTTCAGATGAGAATATGGCTCTGTCTTTTCTCTATATTGATGACTAATACCATGAAAATCATTTTCCAGATTTTAATACTCTGTCTAGGTCCCATTACAACTAACTTAAAAAGCTGCTTCCTCTGGTTCAATGCAATATAAGAGAAACTAAAGCAGTCACTCTCTGTACTCCCTCATGATTTGTTGGAAGATATATATTTTTAATGTTTTAAGCAGGCTTAGTCTTGTTTCTCCCCTTCATTATTAATGCTGCAATTATTGTAACAAAATTCCCTTCAAAGAGAGAGATTCCTAGTCCAGAGTTCTTTCCAACACACTTCAGTACCTCATTTAGTATGTTTTAAATTATATTTTTAAATTATTTCATGTTGGAAGCACCTTTCAAGTTAAAAACATAGTATTTTCAAAATTAAACTTAGGATCTTTATATCCACTTTAAAAAAAAAGGACAGACTCAAAGCAGTGTATAGCTATAAATTTAACTGTCTGAAGTAAAAACCATGTCTAGACCACATTTGAAAACTATGGGTTGTGACCTAAAAGTAGGCTGGGAAATCAATTTAGTGGGTCATGACATGGCAGTTTAAAAAACTGAAACAGAATTAAAAGCCATCATCAGTGTGTTGTGTGTAACTGGGGTACTTGTTGCTTTGTGGAAGCTTCGTTTCAGTCACACCTAAATATGCACTGGGTCACAGTGTTCAACAGTTTTTACTCTGAAAGCTGGTCTGGGTCAGCAGTTCCTCAAGCCCGAGCTACCATCAGCGATCTCCTGGAGCTGACTCCTCGGCCCAAGCCCCTAAAATTTCAGTTCAGCTGGTGTGGGAGAGGGCCAGAACTTCTGAGGGGAATTTGATCAGTCTGGGCTGGGACTGCTGCTCTACACTCCCAGTTCTCACCTATGGTGTAGCCCACAGGTCACCAAACCTCTGAGACAGGCCACAGTGGGAAGCAGACAAAGGCTGCTGTGACTCAGAAGAAGGGCTCCCCACTCTCTGAGGTACCCGTGCCCATCTCCCCGTACCCCACCAGGCCCCTGAGGGTTTTAACAGCACTCAAGGTACTACAGAGGCCTCCTGAAACCCCCATGGGACCCAGACCTCAAGGGCCAAAGGGATAACGTGGGCTACTCGCCCCATTTCCTACTCCCACCCCTTCTCCTCTCTTCTTCCTCTTTCTCCTTTGCCGCTCAGTGTTATCCTTCTTCTCAACTACATCCTACAGAGATGTCTGCAGATATTACCTTTCTACTTTTGGCATTTGGGACACAAGAGATCAATGATCCTGGGTGTGGATCAGAGGCTCATACCAGAAGTTGACATCAGAATCACTGAGGAGCTTTAAAGAAAACATTTACATGCTCAGGGGCTGCTGGTACTGTAGGTTCGGTAGGAGAGAGAGTGGTAGGAGTACAGTAGACAGGAATCTTCATTTCTAGCCAGCTCCATCGGGCATTCTGACTCATAACCAGTACTAAGAACTACTGCTTGAATTCTAGGGCAGAGTTCCCAACCTCAGGGTCAATGGACGGGAAAAAATGTGGCAAAACTTTTATGTGTACTTGAGTGTCACAGAGCCCTGAGACTATCCATAAGTCTGCTTTTTAAAAAAAAAAGTTTATTTCTTTATTGTTCACTGCGTTGGGTCTTTGTTGCTGTGCACGTCCTACTCTATGGTTGCACTGCTAAAGCTTCTCATTGCGGTGGCTTGTCTTGCTGTGGAGTATGGGCTCTAGGAGGCACAGGCTCAGTGCTTGTGGCACATGAGCTTAGTTACTCCAAGGCATGGGGAATCTTCCAAGACCAGGGATCAAACCCGTGCCCCCTGCACTGGCAGGTGGATTCTTAAACACTGGACCATCACAGAAGTACCTGTAGACCTGCCTCTTGAGGAAGCTCCTGAGTAACCCTCTGGAGCACTGGGCAAGGAGGTGGTGGAGGAGGGGGTCTTGTCTGGTGCCTGCCTCTGCCAACCAGGACTAACACAGCCCTTCAGAGCCTAGATTTTTCCCTTGACAAAGGGAGGCGAGGTACAGTGGCTGCTCCCCAGCCGTAGTGTGGAGAAGACTCACTGAATGGTGCCTGAAAAAAGCACCACACTCCAGGCTCTAAAAGAGTCTTCTATAAACACATGTTCAGAATGAAAAGAAAGAAGCTACTTCATTTTGGTGGAAGGCCATGATTACAGGTGTGTCTTGAAGGTTACCTACCTGTCTACCTCCTCTTTGCTCATAGCGGCAAATGTGAAACACTCAGTCACTCCATTGATGGCGAGTAGGAGGACGTAAAGACAGTAGGCTCTCAGTAGGACAGGACCTGTAAGGAAACAACCTGATGAGATTCCAGAGCCCAAGTGGGAGGCACCCGTGCATCCTCACATCGGCTGGGAGGCCAGAGAACACCAGAGTGGGTCATGAGCCCTGCTGGTGTGGTCACTGGGCAGATGTGGGGTCTTAACTATCTGGAAGGACTCTGAGCATTCCAGGGCACTGACCAAAATAAACAGCTAAAAACAAATGGACAGTTAGGAATAGATATACAGATTTCTTGCTTGGCAACTAAAAGCTTATCTGGCTAGCAAACAAATTTCACTTTTTGAATCAGCAAGAAGCAGCCTGCTAGTCTGAGAACTCAGGGACACTAGTGGCCCTGCAGGTAAAGACAAACTCAGCTGAAGAGGCCCTGAAGAAGCCCAGGACTCAGGAGCAGCAGGAAACTATGGAGATAGAACACCCACTACTCTGCAGGGAGAATCAGGGTTCGTAAGGTTATTTTCTTCTAAAACAAAGTGATTAAGTTCTATAGCTAACTAACAAGCTTTGGGAAAATCTGCTAATAGAAGATCAGGAGCCTTAAAATGGAGTTGATCCCCTCTTTTTTTTTTTTTGCCATGCTGTGTGGCTTGTGGGATCTTAGTTCCCTGACCAGGGATTGAACTCAGGCTGTCAGCAGTGAAAGTGTAGAGTCCTAACCTACAGGACGGGGATTCCCTGAGTTCCTCTTTTAAGAGGGCCATTACCGAGAGGCAGTCAAGCAGTTTCTAATAAAATAAACATGTACGCAACCTACTATCCAAAAATTCTACTCCTGGGTATACAACCAGCAGAAATAAATGTACATGTTCACAATAACATGTGTACAAAAACATCTGTAGCAGTTTTATTCCTAATAGCCCAAAATGACCATTGACAGGAGAAAGGATAAACAACATGTGGGCCATCCATACAAAGAAATACTTCTCAGCAATCAAGGAGAAAAAAAAAAACTATTGATACATGTGAAAACATGCATGAATCTCAAAAACTTCATACTGTAGGAAAGAAGCCAATCATGAAAATACTCACAATGTGTAATTTCACTTATATGAAATTCTTTTTAAAAGTAATACTAACCTACAGTGATTAGAAATCAGAGCAGTTCTTGCCTCTGAGGTACAGTGGGGCAGCTGGGTGGAAAGGGCCCTATGAGAACTTTCTGGGGTAACGGAAATGTTCTGTATCTTAATCTGGATATTGGTTACAACGTGTAGACATTTGTTGAAACTCTTAAGAGTACAGTATTTTACTTTATGTAAATTAGACCTCAATAAAGAAAAAAAAGAAACCACTAAAAGAAAAGGGCAGGACAGGGGGAGTTCCAGAGTGTCAGAATCTGAAACTTATTCATGGTTATGAAAGCTGCTTAATATGAAAGGTCCCCGTGCCACAGGGACACTAAATAGTTTTATGGCCATCAAAAATAACAAAAAGAAGTGATATGGTGGTGAGCTGTTGGTGTTGACCATAGCTGTGGTCCTAAGATTAGGTCTCAGTCTTCAGTGAGCTTTTGCCTCTGGACTGTGAACTTCACAAGTATTTCCTAGTTTTTTTTCCTCCCCCTTCAGATGAGATAGGATTGCTAGACTAGACTGGAGTTGGGAATCAGCACATTACAGACACTGCGTGCTTGGTTCCAGACCACTGCAATAGAGTGAATATTTTAATAAAAAAGGTCACATGAATATTTTTGGCTTCTCAGTGCATATAAAAGTTATGACAACATACTGTATTGTATTAGTTGTGCAATAGCACTATGTGGTATTAAAAAAACAAATGTAGTTACCTTAATTTAAAATAATATATTGCTAAAAAATGCTACCCATTATCTGAGCCTTCAGCAAGCTGTAATCTTACTGGTAGAGGGGCTTGCCTGATGTTGGTGGTCTAATAGAGTTGATTTCATGGGACTGATTGGATTCATTTCATTTGATTTGGTTTGGATAAAAAGAACTGCTGTAGTAATAAGAAAATAGACTCTTGTACGATTTCAATACCTTTATACTCTGAAATTTTTGCACTTTGTTTTGTTCCTGGATGTTTCAGGGTCTCCCAGTTAATAGTCTATGGGAACTTGAATTAAATTTGCATCCTACTATTGTGTGAAAAAGGTAAAATGTTAAAAAAAAAAAAAAGAAGAAGAAGAACTGTTTTAAATAGGCCTAGGAAAGGGATAGGGAGCTATGGGTGAGGAGAAGCATTCTATGATCCTATGATTAGGTCTTAATCTTTAGCAAGCACGCCTCTGGACTGTGAACTTCCCAAGTACTTCTGAGTTTTTTTCTCCCCATTCAGGCCAGGATGGCTAGATTAGACTGGAGTTGGAAACCAGCATACCTCAGAGATATTGTGGGTAAAACAACCAAAAAACAAAGCAAAGATAAAAGGAGAACTAACAGTAGTGCTGATGGCCCTCTCTTGGGTTCCACTTTCCTCCTGTCAGGTTGCATCTCATTCCCCCAGACTGCTGCAGAAGGAGCTGGCCCCTCCCACAGCTGTGGGGTGACTCCAGCAGAGGAGGCAGTGACCAGGGTCTGCCCGGTGGGGGCTCGAGGCGACGCCCAGTGTGCTTCCTGCTGCTCTCCGTCCTCCTCTCACAGCCTGCACCTCTCACTTGGTAACTGAAAGTTGACGGCACATAGACAGCGCGCTGCTTTGCAATGTGGAGAACACAAACACCGGCATGCAATGGTGATTCGAGTAGAAGGGTTTTGAGTCAACTTTAGGGAAAGAGGTTGGAATTGGGGAACTTGCAGATGGAACCTTAAATTCTGGGTTGAGCTGAGTGGTAGTATGAGTGGAATTATATTGCCCCCAAAAGTAATGTGATGGGAAAGAATCTGCCTGCAATGTGGGAGACCTGGGTTCGATCCTTGGGTTGGGAAGATTCCCCCCGGAGAAAGGCATGGTAATCCACTTCAGCATTCTTGCCTGGAGAATCCCCATGGACAGAGGGGCCTGGTGGCCTACAGTCCATGGAGTCGCAAAGAGTCAGACGCGACTGAGTGACTAACACTTTTATAAAAGTAATGTGAAGACCTAATCACCAGTAACTTAAGAGTATGGTCTATTTGGAAATAGCATCTTTGTAGTAAGTTAAAATGAGGTCATCAGAGTGGGCCCTAATCCATTATGACTGGTGTCCTTATGAGAAGCAGAAGTTTGGGCACAGAGATAGTCACAGAGGGAAGATGATGTGAAGACACATAGGGAGAAGACAGCCATGTGATGGGGGTAATGCATTTCCAGCCAAAGACTGCCATCCAATGCCAGAAGCTGGGAGAGGCGAGGAAGGATGCCTCCCCTAGAGCTGCCACAGAGAGCAGAGCTCTGCTGGCTCCTGGATTTCAGACTTCTGCAGAACTGTGAGACAATCAATTTCTGTTCTTACAAGCCACTTAGTCCGTGACACACTGTGATCCCAGCCCTAAGAAACTAATATTAGTGGCCTGAGAAGAAAAAAAGACTTTTAAAAAGTGAAAGAGGAGACACTGCTTTGGGAAAGCAAGTGCTCTCCTTACTGGCTGCAAATAATAAGCTCTCATTCTCCAGAAAAAAAAAGTAAAAGAAAGAAGCACCTAAGAGATGAATGTGAGAAGTCTCAGGTAAGTTCATTGAATGTTTGTATTTTCCTTTAGGATGGAGAAGCTAGATATGAGGAAAATGTCTGATCAAAGTCTCAGACCACTTCCACAGCCCCTAATTACACACAGGGCTGAGCCCAAGTACTGCAAAGCAAACCCTCAGTGCTCCACAAAAGTCTCCTGCGGCCAAGTCCCACGTTAGGAAAACAGTACAGAGGTCTCTAAAGGGGCCACTGCAGGTCTGGTCACAGGTGAGTCCACTTCATGGGTGAGGACAAAGACCAACATGCAACTGGGGCAACTGAGGACAGCAGCGTTGCAAGTTCCACTTTCAAAACTAAGTGGTTGGGCTGAGCCATGGAAAGTTCCTCATTCTTTTCTGATTCAGTAAGACTTTCTGGAGAAAGTCAATGTTCTGTGAGTATTTAAGGGAACAAAAAAAAGACTGTGGCGAGGCGTATTGGGGTAGAGAGCAGCCGTGTTAATATCTTTGGCACTAGAAAGGCATTTGGATTTGCAGCACTAGTCCGGAGAGTTGGGAAGAGGGCAAGGAGAAGAGGGGTGGTGTGGAGACAGGGAAGGAAAGCCAGCAGGCACCCTGGGGAGACACACTCACCCTCCCAGAAGGCACACACAGCTGGAAATGTGGTCAAAATGAGAGGGAGCGGTGATGAGGAGACAGATGCTGGAAGACCTTGCTGGGACAGGGATGTTGATGGAGGCCTGGGCCAGGCAAGAGACGACAAGGGTCCTAAAGATGCTGCAGTGACTACAGCAAACCATACATCCTTTTCAGAGACTGAGGAACCAGATCACTCTCAAGATTCTTCTCTCTCTGAAGATGAGACCAAGAGAATATCTTATTGAGTCTAAAATGATTAATGACTTTGACATAAAACATCAGAGACAGAATTCATTACCTTCGTTTATCAACTAACACTGACCCTTTTAGCTGACAAATCTATCATCAGTGCTCAAGACTGGAACCAGCATCTCACTTGAGTAAAAGGGTCACACAATGACAATACTTTGGTGTATCTTCAATGATCAATGACTCAGGCAAGTGAAGACTACGTTGATGGGACAGCCCTCTCCTTGTGGCACTGGCCTGTGGCCGCATTACAAAGGCTGCTCCTTGGTGATTACCTTTCTAGACGGGCAGAGCTGCTGTGAAATAGCTTGTCTTGCTCTCTGTGCACTGACTTGCTGGTGGCTTCCTACAGTTGCCTGACCCAGGGCGCTACAAACCACATCATTGGTTTCACAGCGGCTGTTTGTCCAAACCTAATGACCTTTGTTCTTGTGTAGAAACTCGGCCCTTCTTTTCCTAATACTAAATGTTTGGGCCCATTATAGTGGAGACAAAAACATGCCAGTGATCTTGCAGAATGGCATCTGAAAGGGCCCTTTACATTTGAGACAGGGCAGCAGAAAAAAGTCTTCAAGGATCTTGTCTAGTGATGTGAGGAATTAAAAACATCTTTGCACAACCCAAGAGGAAACACTGTAAATGGATTGCTAGTCCGTGACCCAGTGCATCTTGAAACTAGTAAAGTCCCCAGGGCCTAGCGATGCTGTGAGACACTCAGTGGCCTGGGCACCAGGTGTTTCCAAGTTAGACACACTCGATACTTTTCTCTTTCAAAACCCAAGAGTCACTGGATTAAATATACCATTTTATTTGCTGAGATCAATTTCATTCTCTGCAAATGGCTCTGGGTTTTCCTTCAGAGGCTTTTATGCATCAGGCCGTGAGATTTATGTGGCACTTACTGTCTTCAGATGTGTTTAGTACCAAGCGGAGACTCATTAGAGCCTGCTCTCTGCCTTCCTCACTTACCCTACAGGGAACACAGGGAAGCACTTGGCAAAACACATTTGAGGTCTGAAAGCAAAGCCAGGGATTCCTAACAACTTCTCCAAGTGAGGTTGTGGGGACTGATCAACCTGGTGCCAGAGCCCCAAATGCACCCTGAGCTGGTGTGACCTCAGGTGCCCCAGCCACTGGCAATCTTCCCTACATAGACGCATACGTCAACCGTATCTGAATTTCATGACTCCTCTCCTTTGGGTGGGAAATTAGAACAGATCTGGAAAAAAACTCTTGTGCATACCTGATCCTGAGCTAAGCATGGCCCCTCCATAGATGTCCAAAACCAGCTGAGAATAGGCAAACCCGAAAACGGTGATGGTCAGGCCAGTCAGCAGGGCCAGCTTTAGCAGGGACTCCAAAACCGCGGCGGCCACAGCAACATCCTCCTGGGGCCAGGGGAGAAGGAAGGAAGTGGGATGAATCATGAGCTGGAGAGAAACCTCCCATCTGGCTTTCTCCCTTTGCTGTTTCATGGATCACTCTTTCAACTGCTGAGGACCATCGCTGCTTTCCTATAGCCTGGGTTTGTTTCTATTCAATTAACAAATGGAGGAAAAAAGACAAAGTGTGCCTCCTTAAGAAAGCAGGGGAGGGTTAGTTTTTAACTCGTTTAGGATAAACTGTCTCAAATGTTGCCTAGGAAACACTCACTTTCCCCTCTGACATTTATTCTTAAATGGACAAGTTTTTACATAGCCAGCTAGCTTTGTCAGTGTGCTTCTCCTGACAAGCCCAAATTCTGATGTCTCCGTAATCGACACTGAGAAAACATTCCTAAATCAGACTAAGAACCAGATTGGTTCATTTTGAAAAGATATGCATGAACTGTCGTCTGCAAAATGTATTCTAAGGCACAAAAGAGGCCAACTAGTTTGCTTTTAATTCTAAGTCAGACATTTTCAATGATTCTAGGAAAAGGGAAGTTTCTACATGCAAATGCTCCTGGATTAAAATCTCTTCTGTTTTTACTGGAGCTCTGGGCGCATCACAGTCCTTAAGCAGCTGAGCGTGTGACGAGGGGGACCAGATGCCCCGTGTTTTCCTCTCCATGCCCTCAATTAGCCCTGCCCCAGTCTCTGCAACCTTCGGCTCATCTTTGGTTGAGAATCTGAGGAGGGGGAAGGCAGGCTCATTCTTAAACCTTAGACCTTGGTGGGGGGCGCGGGGGGGGGGGGGCGGTCTGTGCTGCAATGGGGACAGCTGAAGAGTTCTGAGAGAGCTGAGACAAAGAAAAGGTCACAGAGAAGGACAAAGGGTGAAAAGAAAGGGCTGGTCAGGAGGAAAAGGAGAAGCTGGAAAGAAGTGAGCTCAAGATCTTGCCATCACTCAGAATGTGAGAGCAGAATGAAAGCTAGAAGAAAATTTCAGGTCAGAGGGAAACAGACAGCTCCACATTTCTGTCTTGTTGGTCCTGTACACACAGAGACAATTACTTCACTTGGAAGATGGGGACATGAAAACCAAGACTACCTGCTTCTGAAGTGTGGCGTCCTTTTCTCTCTCTAGCACCTTAGCAAAGAATATATAAAAACTCTCCTCTATTGGCTGGAAAATTAATCTGGCCACAAGGGAGCCAAGATTATTCACTATATCATACACACCTACAAAAAAAAAAAAAAGAAATAACAGTCTTATTGGTTTTTCTACTTGAATTTTTATAACACTATTTTTTCTAATATAATTTTTTAAATTAAACTTTTTGAGATAATTATAGATCCACATGGAGTTGTAAGAAATAAAAGGGAAAACCATGTACCCTTTACCCATTTACCCCTACAAATAGTAAATTCTTGAAAAACTACAGCATAAGATCACAACTGACATAAATGCAGTCAGGATACAGAACATTTGCATCACTAGTACCTTTTTATAAAAGTCATTAATGCCAAGTTGATTTTTTTCTATTTTTATTTCCACTACTTAGGGACAGTATTCAAAAATAAATGTGAAAAAATATTAAGACCTATTTAGCCACACACACGGGCCAAATCTTCATGACTGTGATGACCTTCCTGTTATCCTGGCACCCTCTGACCTCCAAAATGAGCCCCAGAGCTCTGCAGAAAGCTGGGTAAGGGCAGGGAATCCCAGCAGAGAACCTGCCGCCCAAGACACACTGGAGGGAATAGTCAGATACACATTTATAAAGACCTACAATTTTCAATCTTCAGGATTCATTTTTTATAACCTTCAGATTTGTTTTTTCATTAAATGTATCAAACTACAGGGGTTTCCCTGGTGGTCTAGTGGTTAGGAATCTGCCTTGTAATGCAAGGGCCTTCATTCCACAACAAGAGAAGCCACTGAACTCAGAAGCCCGCACACCACAACCAGGAATAGCCCCCTGCATGCAGCAACAGATCCAGTGCAGCCAAAAATCAATCAATAAATAGATATTTTAAAAAGAATCAAACTACAGAGGCAAATATTAGAAAGTATCGTGAAGATAGCTCATCTTTAATTAAAACACTGCAGAATTTCATCTTACCCTGATCCCCAAAATTTAACACGTTCAAAAATGTCATCACATATCGCTCGCCTATAAATGGAAAAGCAAAATAATTAGCATTTCAAATACACAGTATTTTATTGCTTTCTTTTCTCTTGTTGTCTATCGTCTCTTCCAGTTGGTAAATACTGTCAAAGCAGAAAAGTTAGATACTTGACTAATGACATGGTCCTTGTCCTAATGTTGATTTAAAATAATCTCAAGCAGGTCACCCCGAGCCTGGGCGCGAGAAGCCGCCGGCCGGAGGCCCGGTCGGGGGGATGTGGAGCCGGCGCTGCGTCCGCCGCGGATCCCGGCCGAGGGCGAGCGAGTCCGTGCCGAGGGCGAGCGAATCCAGGCCGAGGGCGAGCGAGGGCGGGCGCGGGGCCGCGGGGCCGCTCGGCCGCCCTCCCCGCCTCGCGCCGTAGCGCAGTTCCAAGAAGGCGGCCACCATGAAGAAGGCGGCTGCAGAAGATGTCAATGTCACTTTTGAAGATCAACAAAAGATAAACAAATTTGCACGGAATACAAGTAGAATCACAGAGCTGAAGGAAGAAATAGAAGTAAAAAAGAAACAACTACAAAACTTAGAAGATGCCTGTGAGGACATCATGCTTGCAGATGACGACTGCCTAATGATACCTTATCAGATCGGAGATGTTTTCATTAGTCATTCTCAAGAAGAAACACAAGAAATGTTAGAAGAAGCCAAGAAAAATATGCAAGAAGAAATTGACGCCTTAGAATCCAGAGTGGAATCAATTCAGCGGGTGTTAGCAGATTTCAAAGTTCAGTTATATGCAAAATTTGGGAGTAACATAAACCTTGAAGCTGATGAAAGTTAAACATTTTATAAATTTTTTTTAATTTGTTTAATAAACTTGGAATATTGTTTAAAAAATAATAAATAAATAAAATAATCTCAAAATAATTACAATTTGGAAAGTGCTGGTGGCTTTATTGATAGCAAAGTTACAAACCAATTTAATTAAAAAACATCAAAAATCAATCAAACCAGCCTGATAAGTTTTCTTAAAAGTGTGAAGAGTTACAGAAATGTTAATAATAAAAGATAATCTCAAGTTTTCAGGGAGGTCAAATAATCTGAGTGTAAATTCTGTGAAATGAAAGGTCCATGATAAACCATACACTCATCAGAAGTTTCCTCTCTGAGTAGAGAAAACTCTGTGGAGGCCAGCAATTCTCAGCAGTCCTAGTTCATGGTTCAAATCTAAGACAGTCTAACACGCTCAAGGTGAAGACATTATCCCTGAGCCCTATTCCCCACCTCCATGAATATTCTTATTATCCCTGAATGGGAAACAGTAACCGCTATGGAGGCAGAGCACTAAGGAGGCCACAGCCCTGAAGGGCCAACTCTCACCTCCTAGACACTTGCTCAAAAAAGAAAGCAGCAGTAAGACATGAGAATGTGATATTCTCTCAAGTCCCTCTCCCGATCCTTTCCTCCCTACAATGTGGCAGGGACCTCTGGAGGTCCTTCCAGGCATGGGCCCCCCAGGAGTTACACGGACTCCCATCAGTATCTCTGCTCTTCTCTAATCCATCCTCATCACTAACAGTTCCAGCTTTTGCAAATACAGATCTTAAGTCATCTCTTCTTTCACTCCTTTAAATGGCTCTATTGTGTCTGCAAAAAGTCCAAGTGCCTTGGTTTTGCATTTGGGACCTTTTATAGGCTGACCCTACCTTTTCGAGTCAGATAATCATGATGGTGTGATCACTCAACTAGAGCCAGACATCCTGGAATGTGAAGTCAAATGGGCCTTAGGAAGCATCACTATAAACAAAGCTAGTGGAGGTGATGGAATTCCAGTTGAGCTATTTCAAATTCTAAAAGATGATGCTGTGAAAGTGCTGCACTCAATACGCCAGCAAATTTGGAAAACTCAGCAGTGGCCACAGGACTGGAAAAGGTCAGTTTTCATTCCAATCCCAAAGAATGCTCAAACTACCACACAATTGCACTCATCTCACATGATAGTAAAGTAATGCTCAAAATTCTCCAAGCCAGGCTTCAGCAATACGTGAACCTTGAACTTCCAGATGTTCAAGCTGGTTTTAGAAAAGGCAGAGGAACCAGAGATCAAATTGCCAACATCCACTGGATCATCGAAAAAGCAAGAGTTCCAGAAAAACATCTATTTCTGCTTTACTGACTACGCCAAAGCCTTTGATTGTGTGGATCACAATAAACTGTGGAAAATTTTTAAAGAGATGGGAATACCAGACCACCTGACCCACCTCTTGAGAAACCTATATGCAGGTTAGGAAGCAACAGTTAGAACTGGACATGGACCAACAGACTGGTTCCAAATAGGAAAAGGAGTACGTCAAGGCTGTATATTGTCACCCTGCTTATTTAACTTCTATGCAGAGTACATCATGAGACATGCTGGGCTGGAAGAAGCACAAGCTGGAATCAAGATTGCTGGGAGAAATATCAATAACCTCAGATATGCAGATAACAACACCCTTATGGCAGAAAGTGAAGAGGAACTAAAAAGCCTCTTGATGAAAGTGAAAGAGGAGAGTGAAAAAGTTGGCTTAAAGCTCAACATTCAGAAAACTAAGATCATGGCATCTGGTCCCATCAATTCATGGGAAATAGATGGGGAGACAGTGGAAACAGTGTCAGACTTTATTTTTTGGGGCTCCAAGATCACTGCAGATGGTGATTGCAGCCATGAAATTAAAAGACACTTACTGCTTGGAAGGAAAGTTATGACCAAACTAGGTAGCATATTAAAAAGCAGAGACATTACTTTGCCAACAAAGGTCCGTCTAGTCAAGGCTATGGTTTTTCCAGTGGTCATGTATGGATGTGAGAGTTGGACTGTGCAGAAAGCTGAGCGCTGAAAAATTGACGCTTTTGAACTGTGGTGTTAGAGAAGACTCTTGAGAGTCCCTTGGACTGCAGGGAGATCCAACCAGTCCATCCTGGGGGAGATCAGTCCTGGGTGTTCATTGGAAGGACTGATGCTGAAGCTGAAACTCCAGTACTTTGGCCACCTCATGCGAAGAGTTGACTCGTTGGAAAAGACCCTGATGCTGGGAGGGATTGGGGGCAGGAGGAGAAGGGGACGACAGAGGTGAGATGGCTGGATGGCATCACTGACTCGATGGACATGAGTCTGAATAGACTCCGGGAGTTAGTGATGGACAAGGAGGCCTGGCGTGCTGCAATTCATGGGGTCGCAAAGAGTCGGACACGACTGAGTGACTGAACTGACTGACTGACTAAAGCTATCTTTTCAGCCTCCCTTCACCAGCCTCACCCCCACCTCCCACCATCACTCTATCATCCTCTGCTACACCCTACATGGAGGTTTTCACCCCTCCAACTCCTCTGAGTCAATCTGGGCTGGTGCTCCCAGGCTCAGCTGCTGGTATCCTCACCACCTGCAATGGCTTTTCTGCAGGGACCTCCCTGGGTTCTGGCACAAAAGGCCTCTCCCTCCCACATTCTGACAGCTCCCTGAGGAACCATGTCTCGGCCATCTCCATGCCCCTGGCTGCCTAGTAGAGCTCCTGGAGATGACAGCACTCAAGAGATGCCTGGAGAATGAGCTGACATTTCCAAGTACACCCCGTATCAGAGTTAACCACACAAATGCTTTAGTCTCTGCGGAGGGAAAGAGCTCCTTGAAGCCACGTCCTGTTCCTCAGTCATGTGTATTCTCAGTACACATGTGTATTCCTGACACACAGTGCTCAGGAAATGTGGAGGAAGAAGGTAACAGCACATGTATGTGAGTGTGTATATACACATGTGTACACACACACACACACTTTTGCTGTAACAATAAATGATTTTAAATTTTTTAGAGCTGTAGCTTTCAGAGAAAAAGAATCCAGGTGTCCTTGTCAGGCCCCTTCCTTATTTCACAGCCATGGAGAGGGAGGCCGTAGGAAGTTCCTAGGGGCCCTTTGCCAGCCAGGCCAGGATGGACTGAACATGAAGCAGGCCCCCCTCAGGAGGCTCGAACATGTGGCTGACAACCTGCCCCTGTACACAGGACTAGTCACAGCAGTCCAGACAACCCAGTCAGGGCCACTCCTAAACTCATTCAAACTGCCCTTTAAACTTTTGAAAGAAAAAAAAAGTGTGTTTAAGTAACTACCCTTCCTCAAACTCCCTCCATTGTATTGCCTATTCTGACAATAATGTGAACTATCACAATATACAATTTCACTATGGTTACCTTTCTTCACCAAAAAATAATTGCTGATGACTTCCCTGGTGGTCCAGTGGCTAAGGCTCTGTATTTCCAAGGCAGGGAGTCTGGGTTTGATCCTTGGTCGGGGAACTAGATCCTAAAAGCCACAGCTAAGACCCGGTGCAGCCAAATAAGTAAATATTTATAAAAACCCAAACCTTGCTGAATATCTATCAATGTTCCAGGCCTAGCAGGGTGTCAGGGAGACAGTGGTGAACTGCATACTCCATTGCTCCCAAGAGTTAAGGCACCTTCACTCAACTCTCTGAAGGTTTCTGACCTTTACTTCCTCCAGAAGTCCTGTGAACAGTTTCACTTTTGTGATGGAAATGTTACAGCCTCAGGCTAGAAACAGGTGTTCTCAAAGCTCGGGAGCCCTCAGGCACCTCCTGGTTCTATCTTTTAACTCACAAATGAGGAAAGTGAGGCTTAGGGCTTTCCTTTGGAAGTATAATGAAGAAAAGTAAAGAATGTGGACAAAGAAAAACAAGACAGTAACAGTGATGTTTGTACTAGAATGCTAGAGTTTTAGGAAACGTCTTCCTATTTTCCAAAATTCTTGTAATGGGATTATATTATTTTTATAACTAAAAGATAGTTTTTGAAGACATTTAAAAACATGTTCAGTAATAGATATATAAATGCACAGACACATGAAATTTATAGAGAGAAACTACTACCTTCAGTAGCTTATAGCTGCCTCCAATCTCATTCTTTGAAATAAAGCTGGGTATAAATATATATATATATATATATATAAAATAAGATGTACTTTCAGCTCCTGGCTTGTCCTCTGCATTAGAGCTCTGTCACTGTTAAACTGGGAAGTTCTGAGAAGTTGGAAGGTTGACCAAACTACCCCACTGGTGAATCTTACTGTTAAAGAAAATATATTTGATTTAACCCCAAATATTATCATGGCAACATGAAAAGAAATACTAGAAGCACTTCATGTTATTTTTTAATACTAGTTCTTTGAAATCCAATATGTATTGAGTGCACTTACAAGCTCATCTCAATTCCAAATGAGAAAAACTGGGTTCTTAAAAAGGTCAGAAGGGGCTTTCCTGGTGGCTCAGTGGTAAAGAATCTCTCTGCCAATGCGAGAGACATGGGTTCGATCCCTGATCTGGGAAGATCCCACATGCTGTGGGGCAACTAAGTCCGTGTGCCAGAACTACCGAGCCTGTGCTCCACAAGAGAAGCCACCACAAGGAGAAGTCCGTGCACTGCAACTAGAGAAAAGTCTAAGCAGCAGCGAAGACCCAGCACGGCCAAAAGTAAATAAATTTTAAAAGCTATTTTTTTTAAAAAGCTCAGAGAAAGTGCATAAAATGTTTGGAAAATAAGATTATAGATAGAAGTGAAGTTGCTCAGCCATGTCTGACTCTTTGGGACCCCATGGACTGTAGCCCACCAGGCTCCTCCATCCATGGAATTTTCTAGGCAAGAGAGATTATAGATAGCTTTCTGTATTTTCTAAACTTTCTGTAATTGATAGAATATTTCTATAATACATTTATTATTACATATATTATATGTATTATATATATTAAATACATTATATGTAATAATAAATGTATTATAGAAATATAATAATATCACCATGGAATATTACTCAGCCATTAAAAAGAATTCATTTGAATCAGTTCTAATGAAATGGATGAAACTGGAGCCCATTATACAGAGTGAAGTAAGCCAGATGATAGAGAACATTACAGCATACTAACACATATATACGGAATTTAGAAAGATGGTAATGATAACCCTATATGCAAAACAGAAAAAGAGACACAGATGTACAGAACAGACTCTGTGGGAGAAGGCGAGGGAGGGATGTTTCGAGAGAGAACAGCATGTATATTATCTATAGTGAAACAGATCACCAGCCCAGGTGGGATGCATGAGACAAGTGCTCAAGCCTGGTACACTGGGAAGACCCAGAGGAATCACGTGGAGAGGGAGGTGGGAGGGGGGATCGGGATGGGGAATACATGTAACTCCATGGCTGATTCATGTCAATGTATGACAAAACCCACTGCAATGTTGTGAAGTAATTAGCCTCCAACTAATAAAAATAAATGAAAAAAAAAGAAATATAATAATATATGTAATATATTAATAATAATATATATTATATATGTGTGATGTATAATATATGTAATATATATAGTATATATTATATATATGTAATATATATAATATATGTAATATATATAATATATGTAATAATATTACATTATTATTAAGTGGGATTCAGGAATGAGACTCAGATTCAAAGTAAGTTGCTCCTAATTCTTGTAGGACCCTGCAGAAGTAATGTAACTTCACTGACCCTCAGTTTCCTCATCCATAATAAAAAGAACAATATCTTTCTTACAAGGCTGTGGGGAGATTTAAATTAGACAACTGAAGCATCACACTTAATAAATGCTAGTTTTCCTCTCATTTAAAACCCTCCCAGTTCTAAGGGTCCTCTGACCCGGGGGCTCTAGGAAGCAGGTGGTCTGCATCTAGGCAACCAGCAGTTCTATAGAATCCCCTTGCTGATACTTGGTGTGTTTTTGGTTTTGGTTTTGTGTGTTTTTGTTTTTTGGCCATGCCACGTGGCATGTGGGATCTTCGTTTCCTGACCAGGGATCAAACATGTGCTCCCTGCATAGAAGCTTGAAGTCTTAACCACTGGACAGCCAGGAAGCTCCGCGTCACTGATACTTCAGTTTCCTGACTGCTCAGAGCAACCTTTTGCTTACCTTCTGTCAAAATCTGTTTCAGGAAAGACTGTTTGAAAAAACTCCAAGTCAATTTAGCCTCTTCCCAATTTACAAAAGCCTAGAAAAAACAAAACAAAAAACCTCTAGGTATTGCAAGTCTAAGAAAACAATAAATGTTACACGGGAGGCAAACTCAGTTTGGTCTCTAAATCCCAACTTGGATAGTCCCCACTAATTTTTCATTTACTGCTAAGCACATAGAAACATCCAACAAATACTGACAAAGAATTTATATTTCTAAATGTGAAGACAAAGGTGACTGGGACAGGTTCCAGGCCTACCTTTGGGCCAGCTTCCATAGCTAAAGTCGACATTTTGGAGAGATGCACACGCTTGCCCTTATGAATCACCCTTTTCCTCCTAAAGAGCCCCCTGAAATCCTACCTTTGGAAAGTATCAGTTTAAGTTAATGAAAACGCTTCTTAGAAAGCAAGGGTCATTTCCAGTCCTCAAATCTTCTCATCCCTTAGTTTCAGAACCTTTCTTTCCTATTTGGAAGGTAGTTTTGAATCCTTCCAACCCACACTGACTTCAGTGCATCACTGGACCGGGAGCCAATGCCATGACAGCTATAGTCCAGGGGTAAATATTCCTCATGAGAAGGAAATCAGTCCTGAATATTCATTGGAAGGACTGATGCTGAAACTGAAACTCCAATACTTTGGCCACATGATGCAAAGAACTGACTCACTGGAAAAGACCCTGATGCTGGGAAAGATTAAAGGCAAGAGGAGAAGGGGATGACAGAGGATGAGATGGTTGGATGGCATCACCGACTCGATGGGCCTGAGTTTGAGCAAGCTTCAGGAGCTGGTGATGGACAGGGAAACCTGGTGTGCTGCAGTCCATGGGGCCACAAAGAGGTGGACACGACTGAGTGACTGAACTGAACTGAGAAGGAAATTGAACCTTTACTTTTCCCAGAACAGAGCGCCAGACCTCCCTAGACCACTAGGGGACACTGTGGACCACATCATCCTCTGATGAACACTGATCCTGCCCATCGTTGGCTTCACAGGAGCCAGGGCATAGCACCTTCTCTCTCTCACACTCCGCCCTCTCTATGCCAGGTGGCCCTCTGGAGGGGGGAGGTGTGTGGTCTACAAAGTAGTAACTGTGCTGTTTTCAAAGGAAATGAACAGTTACAGTGTGTCCACAAGGCTTCTGCGAAGCCGACTTGCTGGTCAGGTTGGGATTTGGTTTGGGAGGGTGGCTAAGCCCTTAAAAAAAAGTTCCTTGGAAGCTGAAGTCAAAAAATAAAAGTTCTTTAGGAGAGTGCTATCATGACAGTGTATCTGATCTGCAAGCTCATACTTGAATTCCTTCCTCCTAATGCCTTCAGTTTAAATGGACCCATGGTTTAGAAGGAATAGCCACACTGCTTACTAACTGTGAAATGCTCATTAATGATAGGCAGAAAGTTTGAGCAGAGATTAGGTTTCTACTCAGAGGCATCTGCTAAGTGGTAGAAAAGGAAGTGCATTCTTTGGGATTTTACTGTTCTGAATGGATTTGTCACTTTGAAAGGTCAAAAGAGGCCCCTTCCACAAAAGCTAGCTGAGCTGGTCTATTAGGTTGTGAGTTTCTCTAGAATCCCCTGACCAACAAGCAATTCCACTGCCTCCCTGTACTGATGGAGAAACTGAGGTACGGATGGTGAAAGGTGATAGGCAGTACCTCTGGGGAAGGTCTGGAATCACAACTCTGGGGCTCACTGTATTTTACCCTAAGTTACTCTTCCACTTCCCAAACCCCTTGACTTACAATGGTCCAACCAGCTGCATCTTTACCACACTGTCAAGAGTCACTGGGGCCATGGTCCTGTCCCCTGCCCTTCATCACTTCCACACCCCACACGGCACTCCTCTCTCTCTCTCTTGTTGCAGACCTGTTGACTGCCCTGGCTTTGTCCACACTCCCATTTCCACCCACCCGCCACTGTCCTCATCACTTGAAAAATCACAGATGATTGCCACTGCCTTCTCCTGATCTTAAACCTTTTCTCTCCTTGTGGCAGGGTTCAGGTTTTGGAGTTGAGCTCAGAGACTAGAACTCAAATTACAGCTCCTGACACTTTTTTTAACTTCACCAAGTGGCTTGCAGGACCTTAGTTCTCCAACCAAGGATCGAACCCATGCCCCCTACAGTGGAAGCTGAGTCCTACCTACCAGACTGCCAGGGAATTCCCTACAGCTCCTGACTTACGGAGTATGAAGGCCGTGGGCAAGATATTTAACTTTGCTAAGCCTCAGTTTTCTCACCTACAAAATGGGATAGGAAGTCCTATCTCAGGACTTCAGTGCAAATTCTGAGTGCAGGGACCCTACCCAGGGCACCTGGTATAGTGCTTAACACAGATACTGCTCAGTACATGGTAACTATGTTAAATTTCTCAGCTTTACCTGAATACTAGCTGATCTTGTATATTAAATCACTCAGAAGTGTCAAAGAGTACAAAAGATGTAAATGGCAGCCATTATTTGAGGTGTCATTATTTTAAGGCTAAATAAGTATCTTTAAAGAAGATGGAATTCTATAAGAAGAGGAAAGAAATCTCCTAATTTGGTCAAATTGACAGTAAATGTAATTTGTTTGACCAGTTTTGTACAAAGGCACCCCCAGGACAGAAAGCTGCTCCAGAGAGTCAAGTTAGGCTCGTATAGGCACCCACTGCATTCAGATTCAGCTCACTTCTTTTCTTTAAAAAAAAAAAAAAAATGAATTGCTCTACCTGGAGCCTCCCAATCTTCAAGTAAAACAAATAATTACTTTGGGCAATAAACTAATTCTTTTTGGACGAATTCAGAGCATAGAGATTAACACACAGACAAAGGTTTTTTCACAGACAGAAGTTAGAAAGAAGTGGGCCCAAAGCCAGCTGTGTGATTTGGGGTGGATCACCGAACTCCTCTGAACCTCAGTTTTCTCATCTGTGAAATGGGAGACAATAGTATTTACCTCATAGGGTTACTGTGAGGTTTAAGGACAGAAGTCCAAGTGCTTAGCCTAGGGCCAGGCACAGAGTAAGTATGCAGTCAATGGCAGTTATTACAAACAGTTCTTTGTCAAAGTTCAAATACTTCCACAGAACTCTGTAAGTCTTTAACAGGGGCCTCAGGGGTCGTGTAGACCAATAATCTCACCTTAAAAGTGAGGACCCTTGGGACTCTCCTGGTGGTCCAGTGGCTAAGACATCATGCTCCCAAAGCAGGGGCCCCGGGTTCTGTCTCTGGTCAGGGGACTAATTTGCATGCTGTAACTAAGACCTGATACAGTCAAATAAATTTTTTTTTTTTTTTTAAAGAAGTGAGAACTCGGAGACCTGGATAGAGTCCTGCAGGCTTCAGATGTGTACCTGCTGCCTCCCAAATGCACAGGAAGCACCCTAAGGCTAAGCAGTCACCTTCCCACATGTCTGTACCCCAGAGAGCACCCACGCAGGGGCCGGGCTCTGTCAGGAGGAGTGCTGCCACAGACTGAAGGTACACTCAACCTTCTCATGCTCAGGCCTCTAACAATATGAGCACGGGTACTTTCGTGACAGATGGACGGATGAAGCCGCTGAACTCTCAGCAGTCATCAGTGCCTGCCTGGCTGGGATGCTCCAGAGGAGCTACTTCGGCTCTGAGCGCAGCAGTGAAGTGCGAGTGATGGTGTGGGCTGTCATTTATGGATGAGCACTCATGCCAGGCCACAGCGAGAAGCACCTTACGTGCCCCATCTCATCTGGCTCTCACAACCTCCTTAGGAGGGAGGTACTCTTACTTAGTGAAGGACAGGGGAGCCCGGTGTGCTGCAGTCCATGCAGGTCTCAGAGTTGGACACACCTTAGTGACTGAACAACTCTTATTACACCCATTTGATAGATAAGGAAACTGAAGGTCAGAGTTCTGAGCCCATTACAGGGTTAAGTACACGCTTGTCCGACTCTTCCTCTTTTCTCTCTGCCTGTATTAACAGTCCAAAAGCTGCACTTGAAAATACTGCTGGGCGCAGGCACTGGCCCAATAGGACAAGCTGGCCAGGCTTGGTACAGGTGGGCCCTGGGGAATACTCGAGGAGAGGAACTTTTCTGTACTCTCAGATGTGCTCTGAGGGCAAGGAGCTCCAGGTGAAAGAAGTGATCTGGAGTCCTGATCCACTAAGCCTGCAGATAAGGCACCCTGGCATCCAAAAACTGTGATGCTGATTTAGGTGAAAGGTAAGATCCAGCTGATCAGAATGGAGCGCTCTCTTCTAACAAGAACATACATGGCTTTGTTACATCGTATCTGGTTTTTCTTGAAAACTTGTACAACAAGATTCTTAACATTCTGAGACTTGAATTCCAAATACTTTGTTACATTTTTCAAGTAATCAGGGAAGAGCTTTAAGAAGAAGCCAAGCTGAAGCCTTACCTCAACTCGGTGAACCACCTCCAGCAAACAAGTACCAGAAAAAGAGAAAGTGGATCAGCCCAGATGCAGCAGGTCACAGAGCCACTGCACAGATGCAATGTGGTAAAACACCACGGGCGTGACTCCTGGGCTGGAGACTCTAGCTCTGACCCCACAAGAGTCAGGAGATAAAAGTTAAATGGACCAAGAGTTGAAGTGTTGAGTAGAAAGAGATTATGCCTCACTCCCACCCATCAGCCTCTGGAAGCCTCAACTGTCTACCTGGGGAAGCGGATCACCTGAGAGAGTGGCCTGACACTAGACAAAGGAACCCTGCAGGGGCCTTCAGCTATGTCAGCACCTCCAGACTGTCTGTGCTGGAGGTCAGGCCCAGGAAAAACCAAGACACAGCAGCAGAACAGACAGTGAGCACGGGGTGAGAGCCTGCACTCTGCTGGGAGTCATGCCTACCCGGCTCCTGTCCTCACTCTGACCCCCACCCCAGGCAGGTATTTAGGTGCTAAGCCTCAGCTTCTCCACCCTAAAAGAGAGATAATAATGTCAGCCCCAAAGAGTTGCTGTAACCATTAAATATGGTATGTAAATCATCTGGCACAGGGAGTGGCAGAGAGTTTCTCAACTGGGGGCAATTTTGCCCCCTAGGGGAGCATCTGGAGATATTTTTGGTTGTTACAACTGAGGGGTGGTAGTTACTGGTATCTAGTGGGTAAAGATCAAGAACGCCGCTGTACATCCTACAATGCAAAGGACAGCTCCCCTCCCTCCACAACAAATGTGACCCACCCTGGAGAATGAAATGGCAACTCACTCGAAATCCCAGGGACAGAGGGGCCTGGTGGGCTACAGTCCATGGGGCCATGACTTAGCAGCTAAACAACAAATATATATATGTGCATATATACATATGTATCTATAACTGAATCACTGTACCGTACACCTGAAACTAACACAACATTATAAATTATCTACATTTCAATACAAGTTTTTTTAAATTAAAAAAAAAATCATGCAACACAAATCGTCATTAGTGCCAAGATTTAGAAACTGTGGCTGAGCACATAACAGGCACTTCATAAACGTGAGTTATCAAATTATCTTTGTTATTATAACTATAAACAATAAATTGTCATTTCTTTCCCTCAAGGATAACCAGCATCTGTGATTAAAATGATAAGAGACAAAATACATACTTACTCTACTTCTTGGCATACTGGGTAACAGATCTGTCATGCTGGAGACAGGAAGAGCTTGTTGCTTGGCTGATTCTGGGGAGCCCAATACCTTTGCAAAGTAAATAACATAGCAGAGCACCAGAACTGCAGTATAGGAAAGCTGAAAAAAAGAAAATAGTGGGTTTTAATTACACTGTTTTTAATGTAAGAATAATTAAGAAGGGGTTTTCTGGGTGGCTCACTGGTAAAGAATCCACCTGCCAATGCAGCAGATGAGGGTTCAATCCCTGGGTCCTGAAAATCTCCTGGAGAAGGAAATGGCAACCTACTCCAGGATTCTTGCCTGGGAAATCCCATGGACAGAGGAATCTGGCGGGCTACAAACTTAGCAACTAAACCACCACCACTATCACCATAACTAAGATGTGCCTATAGATATGACCGTAAAGGCCAGTCAAGAAATAGAACTGTCTTAATTAACTGTACTTTCTATTGAGCAATGACTCACCTTCTGGAAAACAGTACTAGTCACTAACACTCAGGTCCACTGCAGCATCTCTGGGGAAGGCATCACAACACTCCACCTGACTGGGAGAATAGTTCTTCCAGACAGGCAGAACATAACTTCCATAACAGACACCCATTAGGGCAACCACACAGCAATGTCAGATACGTTCTCAGAAGATTTGTATCTGGCCAAAGGGACGGCTTTCCCACCTAGACAGCACACCATGAGGACCCACATGTCCTGGCTGTGCTAATTTCCAGGGATGTGCCATCATCCAGGGCTGGGGACTTCCCACGAACCCTGGAAACCTGTGACGTTATGATTAAAAAGCAGAACTGAGCTGTTGTCTCTCCTCTCTGCCCAGCGCATGGGCAGGGCAAGAGCTACCACAGGACTGGGAGGGAAGAGGTGATAAAAGGCCCCACAACCCCTCCCTCTTCCCATCTGAGACAGAAAGATGGCTTCTGGTGAGCAGCAACAGTCTGGAGTTTTGTCTGCAGGTTGGGGAGGAGTATCCCAAGAGCCCCTTTTTACAAGTTCCCTTCTCCTCTCTCAGCCTGAGAAAAGCATTGCACAGTAGCTCAAGGAGGACTGGGATCTCCAGGTACCACTTTCAATCTGGAAACACCAAGGCTTATCATGTAAAAAAGGCACACATCAAGGACTAAGAGGAGTCTGGATTTAGCAGGTGTAGGCCCTCTGCTTTCCAAACCCATCCACGCCTGAGGACAGACCTGCCACCCACCCTCCTTCTTCCATGCCTCAAAACCTTTCAGACACAAGCAGTGCCGTGGGAGCCACACCATCTAACGCCAATGTCCTCTGTAATGAGCACCTTCTCCAGCCCCCTTTGCTGCCTCTGTCACCTTCCCGCTGACCAGGGCCTGGGGAGGACCAGCAGTCTCTTCACAGAGTATCCTAACTACAGGGTCCCTGCTCCTCTTTTCCACTGAGGAAAAATTCACATAACGTTGACCATTTTAATCATTTTACAGCATATAATGCAGTGGTTTTTAGTACATTCACAATGTTGTGCAACCACCACCACTATCTAATTCCAGAACATTTTCATCACTCTAAAAGGAAACTCTTGGCCCATTAAGCAGTCACTCTCCATTCCTCCATCCCCTGATAACTACTAATCTGCTTTCCATCTCTATGGACTCACTTATTCTGGACATTATATATTAATGGAATCATATAATGGGTGGCCTTTACTTCCTGGTTTCTTTCACTTAGTATAATGTTTTCAAGATTCATTTATATCATAGCACATATCAGTATTTCATTTTTATGGCTGAATAATACTCTATTATATAGATATACCATATTTTGTTTATCCATTCATCAACTGATGAACATTTGGGTTGCTTCCACCTTTTGACTATTGTGAATAGTATTATTACAAACATCTGTAAACAAATTTTTGTTTGATCACTTGTCTTCAATTCTTTTGGGTGTATATCTAGGAGGAGAAATGCCAGATTATGTGGCAGTTCTATATTTAACATTTTGGGGAATTGCTAAATTGTTTTCTAAAGCTGCTGCACCATGTTACATTTCTACCAGCAATGTATGAGTGTTCCAATTTCTCTATATCTTCAACAACACTTGCTATTTACTATCTTTTTGATAACTGCCATCCTAGTGGATACAAAACAGTATCTCATCATGGTTTTGACTTACATCTGCCTAAGGAGATCAGTCCTGGTTGTTCAATGGAAGGACCGATGCTGAAGCTGAAACTCCAATACTTTGGCCACCTGATGCGAAGAGTTGACTCACTGGAAAAGACCCTGATGCTGGGAGGGATTGGGGGCAGGAGGAGAAGGGGACGACAGAAGAGGAGATGGCTGGATGGCATCAGCAACTCGATGGACATGAGTTTGAGTAAACTCAGGGAATTGGTGATGGACAGGGAGGCCTGGCGTGCCGCGATTCATGGGGTCACAAAGAGTCGGACACGACTGAGCGACTGAACTGAACTGAATGACTAATGATGCTGAGCATCTTTTCATGTGCTTATTTATATATCTTCTTTGGATTCAAGTTCCTGACCCACTTCTGGGGTGGTTTGTCTTTTGTTATTGAATTGTGAGAGTTCTTTATTATTCTAGACTGACTCTTTTTATTTGAGTCATGATGCCAAGAGTTGAGGGACCTGTTTCAGGAGGAACCGGGAGGCAAGCTGGAGAAAGGGGAATCCCAGAACCATAGGTGGAGCTCCCCTGGTGATATGAGCTGCTGTTAGCTCTTTAACCTTTCCCACAGAGACTGACAGACAGTGTCCCAGAGAAGAACTTTCACAGGTCTTATGATAAGGATGCCAATAAAACTTCAAACTCAGAACTGGCCTAGCTGACCTATGATCTGTGATGTATCCTGGGTGGGAGCTACAATAATCAGAAAATCATAATGCAAGTAACTTTCCCAAGAAGAGTCAACCAATAACTGGGCACCTCTATGACACTCCTACCCTATTAGGGAGAGTACATCGCAAACAATGATGAACACTGAGAATGGCAGTTCTAGACTTAATAAACGGTGGCAAAAATATTCAGAAGTAACATTTCTAAAACATGCAATTGTTGCAAGCTGCTTTTAGGAAGCAATTCTCATTCTTAATCTACAATTTTAAATCTAGCTTTTCTATGTTTCACAGAAATATCTGCAGTTTTTGCCTAGGACACAGGAAAACATTTTCACGTAAATCATTACTAAGAACTTTAACTTGCTTTCCAATATATTAAGAAAAATTACAAATTAGTTTCAACTATGAGATAGTCTGATAACTATTTGATCTTAGTTTCATTTTTTAAATTAGCACTTATAGTCTAGCTATGGAGGGCTTCCCAGGTGTCTCAGTGGTAAAGAATCCACGTGCCAAGCAGGAGATATGGGTTTGATCTCTGGATCCTGAAGATCCCCTGGAGAAGGAAATGGCAACCCACTTTAGTATTCTTGCCTGGAAAATTCCATGGACAGAGGAGCCTGGCAGGCTACAGTCCATGGGGTCACAAAGAGTCAGGGACATGACTTAGTGACTGAACAACAAAAACAACTCAACAACAAAAACAACAACAACAACAAAAATAAGCTATATTTTTAATAGAACTAGAAAGATGAATTAGAACTAGAGAATGGGATAGAATTGAAGCCAAAACTGCTAAAACTGAAAATATACCTCCTATGACTCGATTCATGCCCTCTGAATTAGGAGAGATTTCAATCTAAGTTTAAAAGAGGCTTGGCAGAGATTCCTGCTATTCTGAAAACAACTGATTGAAATTCAGGGAAAATAACAGGCAATTTGATTCCCACCCCACCCCCTTGCTGCTTTTTTTTCTCCTCCAGAAGACTATCAGACAATCAAAGATCAGTTTGATATAGGCTTGCCCACAGAACATCTAAAGAAGCTTTCATGTATGAGAACAAACTTTCACGTCCCCCTCACAGTGGGGACCTGGTGAGGGCCACATCCGGCCTTGGACAGGCATGGCAGCCAGAGAAGCAGTGCCAAGACCATCTTTCTAGAACTTATAGCCTTCTCCACATGCATGAATACTACAAATGCAAACCACGCAGTAACAGGAACAAGAAGTAAAACACAGATGGAGAAACAGAGATTATACCAAAGTTAAAAGTTGTAACTCTTACCTGGGCCAAAGAGAAAATGTACAGCCCCCAGTGAGGCAACCACAGCACAAGAAGCGCTGTCAGGACGCTCTTGAGGATTACTGACAGGCTCTCAGCAATCACCTGCAAACCCATAGTAAAGGGTATACTTTAGAGACATTATTAAAACTAAAAAGGCAAAGGAACCCCAGACAATCTGGGATAATGGTTACCCTGGTGGTAGGGGTGGGTGAGTAATATGGTTGGACACAGTATTTATAATGTTCTACTTTGGGACTTCCCTGGCAGTTCAATGATTAAGACTTCACCTTCCAATGCAGTGGGTTTGATCCCTAGTAGGGGAGCTAAGATCCCACACGCCTTTTGGCCAAAAAACCAAACATAAAAGAGAAGCAAAACTTTAACAAATTCAATAAAGACTTTAAAAATGGTCCACATTAAAAATGTTTGTAATTAAAAAAAAATAATGCTCTATTTCTTGGGTTGGGTAGTAGGTTCATGGATCTTTAAGATTTATATATATGTTATATACTATATTGTTTCGTATGTATCGCTTCCTTGGTGGTGGTTCAGACAGTAAAGAATCTGCCTGCAGTGCAGGAGACCTGGGTTCGATCAGTGGCTTGGGATGACACCCTGTAGAAGGGAATGGCTACCCAAAACTAAAAATGGTCCACATTAAAAATTCTTCTAATTAAAAAGAAAAATACTGCTCTATTTCTTGGGTTGGGTAGTAGGTTCATGGATCTTTAAGATTTATATATTATATACTAAATTGTTTTGTATGTATCAAATAATACACTTTAAAAGATGAAAAAGTTAATATTATTATACAACTAAATAGAATCACTAGGAAAACCCGAAAAACCTCTATGGTCCTCTTAAATTCTTATTTAAACTAGTAACTTCCCTATTAGCAAACCTGTTCTTCATTAATAGTGCAGGAGAGGTAAATTTCAACCAAGCCCATCTGACAAATCTCAAGTGAATGAACTGAACTGATCATGTTACCTTTTTTCAAATACATTTTACATGCAAGTTTGAAGAGCATTCTCTTTTATAAAAGCATTTTTAAAAAACCACCCTTTCATTTATTCTTCTCATTTCTCATTCACAGCAGAAGGGACACCGACCTTGAGCCTGACAAACATATGGGCTTGTGCCAAGACCCAGAAGGGCTCTCCCAGAAGTTCCACCACTGCTGAGAAGCCAAAAACCACCACTCCAGTTCCATAGTGGGGGACAACGTGAGGATCAGGCACTTCAAGCAACTGTAGCCAGACCCAGCCCAGGAATAAGGACCAAAACACACCCAAAGGAACTCTAGAAAAGGGAAAAAAATGTCTTTTAATATGCTAAATATAACAATAAAAATAAATATATGTTAAAATAGTAACACTGAACAGAAAAGAAATATAGTCATGATAAAAACAGCTACCACTTATTCAGGCACTTACTACATGCCAGGCACTATGATTCACCCCGTTTATCTCACTGAGTCCTCACCATAATACTCTGTCATTATCCCCACTTACAAGATGAAGAAACTAAGGCTGACAGGCATAGGGGATATTTGGCCAAGGTCTTAAACAGCTAGTCAAGGGAAGAAACAGGACTCAATCCTGATCTAACTCCAAAGCCTGCTCCTATCCACTGTGTTACACTGACTTACAAGTGAAACTGCCAGAAGTGCCTGCTGTTTGCACTTAGAACAACTAAAGGATGGTATAGAGCTGGCCTTATACTTCAAATAAGTGGAAGTCCAGTGCACAGTATCCCTTCAGGTGTGACCAGAAGGCTCTTCAGCATGACTGGGTGGCTAACAGTCATTCCTCTAATAAAATAAACACCTACCAGCCCTTAAAACAGTCATCTCCATGAGGTAATAAAGAGTTATGCAAGGGAAAGACTGGAAAACCATTTGAACCATCAGCCCTCCCGGCAGGAACTGAACTGCAGAAAAGTCATTACAATTTTTAGCTGATATACTTGACCCTCAAGAATAGTTTATTTTTTATTTTATTTTTTACTTGGCCCTCAAGAATATTTTAAAATGCTCAGAAGTGAAATCAACATGACAAAATGAGGAAAGATACAAAGAAACACTTCAAAAGGCTTTCAAAAAATAATAAGTGGCTGTTAAAAGATCAGAAAACACTGTAAAAAGAAATGATTAGGAATAAAAAAGATGGCACAGGCTCAGTGGGAATCAAAACAGCAGAAACAGCCTACAGAGGCTGAAGGGGGTAGAAATGGGGCTTGAAACGTGGCACAGAAACCCCCACCCAAAGTCTCCTCCTGGCTCCTGGCTGTCCTGAGAGAAAACAGCCAGGGAAGCTCCTTCACACAGACGTCCTCCCCTTTCCACCCCGTGCCAATGGCCCAGAAGCCCATTGCAAAACCCAAGCTGGAGACTATTCAGCTTTAGGCAAGAAATGCTGTTTAACTTCTCACTTACTACACTTGCCTCCAGGAAACTGTCTGCGGCCAAAGAACAACTCACGTGAGCCACAGGAGGCTGAGAGTCTGACTCCAGTCTCGCTTGGCGGCCCCACTCAGACATGCTCGACGGAAGGCCTCTCTGGCCAGGAAGAGGGTGGTCGAGTAAAGCAGTGTTAGCCTATAAAGGAAAAGCAGAGAGTAATATGATATGCAGTTTTTTCAGAGACAACTTCAGGGATTTTCCAGCAACTGGGAGGAGGAAAAGTCTCAGTTATCTTGGTGGTGATGTGGAGGGGCAATGGTTTCTTACAGAAGCCCCTTCCCCAACTAATCGGACCCACACAGTAACAGAGTTAGGAACTCAACAAGGGACATACGAGTGTGTGCCCACGGAGAGTTATGCCTAGGAGAGAAACTGCCACAGTGGCCCCAAAAGGCTACAATCTTTGTGTCTATGCAGAGGTGTGGCTCTGACCATAAGGAGGAAAAAAGGACAAAATATGACAAAATATGACCCCACACAGAGGGCCTCTTGGCTACCCTGACACTGGTGACCTAATGGCCCCTGTGAAAGAAGCGAGGCTCTCCTCGGTGGAGAATCTCAATGCAAGCAACGAGGCTGGCAGCCATGACTGGGGCTGCTGTAACCCAGATGAGCAAAGCCTGTCTGCATCCCTCCTGGAGGGCAGCACCTAGGTGGACCCTCCTGCACCTCAGCAGAGAGTTGCGATGGTTCCCCTTCCTCGGCAGGCAGTGACCTGGATGGAGCCACAGTGGGGATGGCCCAGGGCAACGGTACCTGAGGTCGCCAAGGACCATCCTGGAACGCAGTGCATCAGCCAAATGAGAGCGAACCATACCTTAAGCAGCTGGGCAGGCCAGATAAGAGCTGTCAGAGCAGGGACCTGGCAATCTGGGGAAGGCCAGCTGGACAGAGGCCCAAACTGCTTTAAAGTCTGAGTACCTGAGACCTTGGCCCTCTTCCTTCCTGTTTTTATAACAGCATGTCTCAAAGTATGGCCCCTACTTCAAAATCACCTGAAAAAACTGTCAAAATGCAGTTCCCAGGCACCTCCTCAGTCCCATCTAGTGCAAAGCTCACCAGATGATTCCTTTGCCCACCAAAGTTTGAGAGCCTTCATTAAAGCTCCAAGAACAGCACCAAGAGCATATGTTCAGTAAGTATTATTATAGATGTAAAATGCTGTCTGGAACATACTGTCTTGTTTACCAGAATGTGAAGACACACCTAAGCACCTGAGCTATACTGAGCACGCACATCGCTTCCTATACTTTTGTGTCATTTGTGAAGACAGAATATGTGTGGGTGTCCATGAACAGACAGGAGAGTAGAAGAAACAGTCTAAAAGACAAAGCAAGCTGGCTTTCTAAGAGCCCCCGAGGAACTAATGACAAGGACTCAGTTCTCATCCCACCACCACTTTCCAATTATAAAATTCCCTAAGGAGGGAGGGAAGGTGGCTGCTCTGGCCCTGCAATTTCAAAGCACATCTTCACGATCTGCAGAACTCCTGCTTCCTTTGCTGTCAGCAGGACAAGAACACAGGATTATACCTGAGTTGGAGTTAGCAGTGAATTACTCCCACTCCTCTGCTGAGTTCTAAGAGCAGGCACAGCGGAAGAGCTGGCAGAGAAATGTGCATTTGGAGGCAGCTAATGGAAAACACACCATGGGTCCATTAAAAGCAACATCGCCTGCTCATCCCCCAAACCCAGCACGCTCCCCTCTGCCCACTGCTGAAACACTCTGCTTCCGGTAAAGGTCCAGGCTCCCAGAATCTGAGGGTGACACACAGGTACAGAGTTTGAAGAAAACCCAACTAGGGATGCGAGCTGTGGATGATGCCAGGGTACACTCCTTCTTACCTGACATTCACTATGCCAACGATTTCCTTCGATAGGAAGCGAAGAATAAATGCATTCAAGACAAAGGTGATCAATCGAAACAACACCTGCCAAAAAAAGAAGATAAATACATAAGAATAAACTATATTGGGAAGGTTTACTTTGCTGAAATGAACACAAGATGGCTGCTCTTCTTAAAATAATGACATACAGAAGCTTTGTCAGAGAGATTCTTTCTAAAATGTTCAAGCTGTCTGTACTGCTTCTGAAATCTCATTCCTTGGGGTCTCTTGGCACTCGTGTGCAATGGTCAAAAAACCCAAGGTGCTTGGAAGTCTCCCTAGTTTACTGACAAGAAGAGGGAAGCCGTGACAGATTCATTGAATTTCTTCAGGTTCAAAGTCAGGCACTCCAGGGGGCAAAAAGGGAATTCTAGTTAGTGCTTCACAAAGGCCTTCCCTTTCTAACCTATTTAGAAAGAGCATGCACTTAGCAAGTGAAAGCCTGCATGATAAAGCAGACTTACCAGGAATTATGGAGTCTAATTTCTCCTCCTTTTCTGCCTATATTTAATACCTAAGCACCTGATACTGATGTTGAATCTCTTTGAACTTTAGTTTTGTCAATTAGGAAGCAGAAAAGGCTATATATATTTACTGAATATTTGCCACTTTCCAGAGAGGAGATGAAATATCTTTTAAACAATTGCAATAAGATAATATAAAACAGAGGGAAAAGGAAAACAGTCTAGCTAATGCCATTGGAAAAAGAAATGCCCCAAGATTCTTAAGCCTGTCAATTCAAAAAACCACCTGAGCAAAGAATTCTTCCCATGAGACAGAGAAAAACAGGTCGCAATTAAATAAGGTTGCCAAATGAGGATAATGGCTGGGGTGCAAGCCTCACTAAGTGACACCCACCTCTGCAACCTGGCAGCCCCACAGGGGTAAACTCAAGGGCACTCCGGAGCAAAGGATGCAAATGACAGATCACTTCTGTGTCAAGCACTCTGAGTTACACGTGAACAGTTACTATCTGGAATATTCAACCGAAGTATGCCAATGGACCACAGTGATATTTCCCACAGTATATCTCTGGGAAAAGGTATGACCAAAAGAGAGACTGCAGTCTAACATGGTCCCCAAAGTGTTACAAAGCAGCAAGGTCTCCAAAGCCAAGAGATCACAATGTTAACCTTTATGGAGTCCAAGATGACCTTCTGAAAATCTCAGGAAAGCTCGGGAGCCTCTCCTGAGAAACATGCAGGTACATACATAAGACACCAAATTCTGTATTCAGTTTTAGAGATTTGAAACGAATTCACGCAGCTCTTAACAGAAAAAGTTTTCTCAGCTCAGCATCTCAACTCACCATTTAACTAAACCTGTCTTCGAATTTTTGTAATGCTCAATTTTCATTCATGTCAAATGAGGCTACCTGTCTCACAGAGTTGATAACAAGGACCAAACACCACCAAAAAAGTGAAAGCATTTTTGAAAAATGCATCCAAATAAAAGGAATTAATAATTTCACTATAGCTGGCTCACAGTGAAGACAGGCAATAAACTCCCAAATTCCTGCAGAACAGAGTGTAACTGCAAAACTACTGTACCTCAAGTGCCTGCATTGTAATTTGAGAAAGCACAGAAGACTGAATTAAAACACTCCAAGAAACCTAAACATTATGGCTATTACACACACACACACACACACAGACTTCCCTGGTGGTCCAGTGGTTAAGACTCAACACTACCAGTGCAAGGGATATGGATTCCATCCTTGGTTGGAGAACTAAGATCCCACATGCTATAACCAAAAAAATAAATAAACACATTTATGCTAACTTCAAAGTTATTGTTGCTAATAAACTTAATGTCTCAGGCCATATCCACACCTAACTGGCTTAAGTTAAGGTTTGAGCTAATGAAGCTATGAAGTTGTTCACATTCCCCATAATTGCTCCATATTGTGGGCCTTATTAGCAACACAGTCTTCATTTAACTTTGTAAAGGACTTGATAGTTTTTTCTAAAAAGCCCTTTCACATCTTTTAAATAGCTGATCCCTAAAAGCAACCAGGTAAATGCACAGGAAGCAAGAGCAAAGGATTTGCCACATGAAAAGCAAATGACCCAGCCTGACCTTATGGCTAAGGCCATCAGATTCCTAGGCTAGTGGGTTTTCTGTTATGACTTGTTTTCTTTTTATGAAGCCAATCTCAGTAGTAAGATATCGTCAAAGGTTGAACAATCAACACTGTGGATAAAACACTGAATTCAAATAGCTATCAATGTGGTGAAATAGAAAAGAAATACAACTAAGTAACTTGGGATTCACCTAATTTAGGGTTACATGAACAGCTAACTAAGTGTATATTTGTGCAAGGAATTCTTCTACGTGCCTTATGTAGCTCATCTCATTTCATTCCTACAATGACCATTTAAAAAGTTCATATTACCATAATAAAAACAGCTAACATTTAGTAAGTATTTACAATATGCCTAATGACATTATGAGATTGCATTATCATTCTCATTTAAGATGAGAGACTGATGACTGTAGAAGTCAAGAGATTTTCACCAAAAGCAGGCACTTAGCAAGTGACAAGACCCTAACGTGAGCCCTGGTCTGCCTGATTCTTTCTCTCAACTTCCACGTGAAAAGCTGCCTCTCTAAAATAAGGCGGAGAGTAGATTCAGGGCTTTTGTGAGTAAGGGCTGAAAGGCTCAGGAGCAAGACAGAGAAAAAATGAAACACCTGGCTTCATGGCTAAATGACTTAGAATGACCTGGCTCTAAGGTTAAAAGAATCTTAACGATGACATTTGGATCAACTGGCATGTACCACAGCTGACAGATGATAAAAATTAGTGCCAAGAGGAGTAAGTGATTTGTCCATGGTCACGCTGCTGGAAGGAAGATGTAGTCAATATACTACTGTGTTAAGTAACAATTATCCAGATAAGCCCAACCCATCCTCACAGCAACCTTATGACCGAGGTACTGTTATTACTCCCATTTTATGAGGAGGAGTCTTGGGTCATGCAGCAAGCACATGATAGAACCAAGAGTCCAAATCAGGCCTGTCTGAACCCAGGTCCCTGTTCTTAGCTATGCCACACTGTCTCTCTGAACTCAGTGGGGGTCAGAAGTTTGAGGTAAGGAGTGGGACATGGATAAAAAAATTAACAAATAAACAAAAAACCCTGGCTTAAAAAAAAACAAATTCTAGAGCACCCGAGGCATCCCTCCCTTACTGCCATATGGGAAACAGAATGCCCAAAAGGAAAGTGACTTGTCTGCAATCTCTCAGCTCTGGGCCCAGGTGTCCCCTCTCAGGCGCCACCGCCTCTCGCCAAACCCCTCCGTATTAGCTGTGTCCACGCAAGAATGGGTTCTTAAGGGCCCGAGGGTCTCCCCGGGAATCCCACTGCAAGACGGGCTGGGGCCGGTTCCCCAGAGTACCTGAAGGAGCAGACCTGAGGAGGCCAACCGGGCAGCCTGGCCCAGCACCTCCCGGCTGCCCATAGCTTCGGCCTACGGGCTCTGTCATCAGGAAACGCCTCCGACACCCGACTTCGTCGCGAGAAGATGGCGTCACCGAGGGACTTGCTCTCTGATTGGCAGTTTTCGTACGGCGGAGGCGGGGCACTGGAAGATCTGGCCCTTTAGGGGACGGGAGTACGGCTGCGTCAGTGCAGTTGCAGCGCCTCGCCGCTCAGGTTTGTCCTAGTCGGTCGTTTGTGTATCTATCCCTACGCGTCCGAAATAAATTAAATATTGTGACCATACTAAGAGACGCTGTTAAAGTAGCCAAAGCCCCTTCTCTAAAGCTCCCAGCCATCAACCAAGAAACCCTACCTTCCCTGGCTTCATGTGACAAAAGGAACAAGCTATTCAAGGACCTGCGTAAAAAGAGTCTTGATAGTTTGACCTTCGCTTACAACATCACGGCCATGGTCCCCTGAATCAGACTGGACAAGACTGTCCCAGTTTTACAGCCTAAACACTGAGGACTAGAAGTTAAATACAACATCTTCACATGTGTGATTCTGTGTAATGCTTTCTCAAGTGCTGAACATTGGACCCTGTTGTCAGAGAGGAATCAGGTGAGACCTGGAGATGTGAAGTGACTTATTCATGTATATACAATTTCTACCTGTGTGGAGCAGACCCCAGACTCCTGATCCTAAACTTGCCTCTCTTATCTACATACTACCAGCTGTGAGAACAGAGAAGTGCTTCAGGAAATGTAAAGTGCCCAATACAATCATTAGTTGTTCTGTCCATGCTATCATCTGCTATGCAGGCCATAGAAAGTCCTATTTATCTCTTTTAGGCCCTAGATGATTTGACCCCAACTTACCTTTCAACCACCTTTCACACTATCACTGCCGTTTCCCTGAAATTTTCTAGACTCTATCCTTTCAGATCCCTTACAGGCCCTAATTGGCCTTTGCTCTGCTGCTATCTCTGCCCAAAATGCCCTCCTTGCACCACCTACCCTCCCAGACTCCAGTGTTTGTGAGTACAACAGCACCTCCTGTGGATTGAATGTGTCATCCCCAAATTCATGTGTTGAAGCCTTAATTTCCAATGTGGTTGTAATTGGAGGTGTGGCTTTTGGTAGGCAATTAGGTGATGAGAGTGGAGCCCTCAAGCATGGGGTTAGTGACCTTCCAAGAAGAGAAGAGAGAGGAACTCTCTCCCTGCCCTGTGAGGATACAGCAAGAAGGTGGCTGGCTGCAACCCAGGAAGAGGACTCTCACCAAGAACTGAACCAGCTAGGACTGTATCTTAGACTTCCCAGCCCTCAGAACTGCAAGAAATAAATTCCTATTGTTTAAACCACCCAGTCTATGTTATTCTATTACAGCAGCCTAAGCAGATTAAGATAGCACCTGTAAGCACTTTGTAACCTAGGCCTTGACCTAGGCTGCCTGCCCACCCCCTCAGACCTTAGGCTGGCAGGTGAGGTAGGCCCTGGCTCCCTTTATCTCCAGCGAAGCAGCTGCCTTAGCAGCTTAGCACAGTCTGCTTTGCAGTGAAGAGACTAAACTATATCTAGACATCCCATAGGCTCTGAGAAGGCAGGAATGAAGAGCATTTGACTTTGCCTCCTGAAGCAGCGGCAGAGAAAGTCCCTAGTACACCCATGAATGCTTCCTGACCTATTACTGCTGCTGGAAACAGACTATGGAGCTCAAGACCTATGCACTCTCCTCACTCCCATCTTGCCAGGTTAATCAAGCTCCGTTTTATGGCAGAGACTCAGAATGTAAGCTTTTGACTATTAGAGCTGGCCCTGAATCCTCATTCTACCACTCCTGAACCAGGTAACCTCAATATGCTCAGCTATTAAATAGGGGATATTATCTGTCTTGTGATGGCAATTGTAAGGATTAAAGTAGTCAAAAGTCTGGCCCTTCAGCAGCTTAAATTCTAGCACAAAGTGATAAGTGCTATGAAAAAATGAAATAAGGTAGTAGAGGCTCTTAGAAGGGAAGGGAAGAGTGCTGTTCTGGAAGGCAGAGCAAATTAGACATCCACTTAGAGAGGAGAGCAAAATGCTGAAGGGTTGAACTATCTGGCCTGTGGGCTGAGATGTCCAAGGCCTTGACCTAGGCTGCCTGCCCACCCCCTCAGACCTTAGGCTGGCAGATGAGGTAGGCCCTGGCTCCCTTTATCCCCAGCAAAGCAGCTGCTTCCTCCACAGCTCCTCCTTGGAGCACAACCAGCCAAGAGCTCTTCATGTCAACATACTCTAACCCTAGTCATCTGGGTGGGCTGAATGACGGGAATCGTTTCACTGGGGGCAAAGTAGCCAAGGAGGAAATTCTCTAAGGTAAGTCCAAAGTGCAAAGTCTCCCAGGAGTCCAAGGTACAGACTCCAAGGGACTTCTGGGCAGGGAGTCGAAGGCCCTTTTCTGTCATTCCAGAGGGTAGGATTTAGCAAGGAGACACTGAGCAGATGCTTTGTGCGCAGTCATGTGTGGTACAAGAGTGTGTGGGAGAGAAAGAACTGTGATGAGAGTCAGTGAGCGCTGAGCACTAACTCCATGTCAGGCGCTCGTGGGAGCACTGTACATGCATGCACTAACCCCTTCATTCTCTCAACAGCTCATGAGGTAGGTGTTACAGATTAGGACTCTGGAAGAGCTGCAGAGATTGAGATGCAATGAGCTTGAAGTTGTCCCCGGCCTCAGCACTGAGCTGCTCCAAAGGCCTCCCCTCTGTTAAAGGTATTGGCACCAACGGGGCCTGGCACACTCCATAGTTCTTATGCAGAGGGCTAAGCTCAGGGCTGGTGAGCTAAGACCTGTTGGTTATTGCCTATTTTATACCACTTGCAAGCTAAGAATAATTTTTAGAGTTGTAAATGGTTAGGAAAAATCAAAAGAAGACTATTTCATGACACATGAAAATTTCATGAAATTCAGATTTCAGTGTCCACATATATAGGTTCTTTTTTAATTAGAAAATTGGTATCATGTTGTATATTTCCACTGTGTTTTCGAATTATTATTTTTTTAATTGAGGTATAGTTGAAGTAAAATATTATATAAGTTTCAGGTGAACAACATAGTGATTCACATTTTTAAAGGTTATATTTCACTTATAATTATTATAAAATGTTGTCTGTATTCCCTGTTTTCTCATATATCCTTATAACTCATTAATTTTTATAATATTTATTTATTTATATGGCTGTTTCAGGTCTTGGGGCAGCATGAAGGGCCTTCATTGCATCATGTGCCCCATGGAGTCTCTAATTGTGGCACATGGGCTCCAGAGCCTATAGGCTTTCTTGCTCAAAGGGATGTGGGACCTCAGTTCCCCAACAAGGGATCAAACTCATGTCCCCCACATTGCAAGGCAGATTCTTACCCACTGGATCACCAGTGAAGTCCTAGCTCATTTATTTTATACATAGTAGTTTGTACCTCTTAATCTCCACCCCTATCTTGGCCCTCCCCACAAATAAAGTTTTATAGAAACATAACCACATCCACCCATTTGTTTACTTGTTGTCTATAGGTACTGTCCTACTACAGTAGCAGAGTAGTTTGGCCTGAAAAACTGAAAATATTTACTATATGGCCTTTTAAAGAAAAAGTTTGCCACTCTTGGTGATCAACATTGAGCTCTGGTGCCCAACGTGCAGTGGACATTTCAATACTGACTGAATGAATGCATACATAAAATAATTTTTTAATTCAGTTACAAAAATGTTTAAGGGTAGATGAGATTTATTAGCTCATGGCAAGGTCCAAAATGATTAATGATAATGATGATAAGAGTCCTTTCCTTTAGATCCTTTGGTTCGGGGGACAAGTGACCCCTGGCAGAACACTAGGCTGTAATTAGCTGTCATTGAAGGAGCTTTCCCCAGGCTTTCCCCTCCTTTTTGCTCTTCGTGCCAGGTAGCCTCCCTGCCAGGGAAAGTTTGACCTGAGCTGGCTATTTTATTACAAAGCTAGAGGGAGTGCCAGGGCTGTCACCAAGCCAGTTAGATTCCTGGGGCATCGGAACAGAAAGGGAGGTGGCTCTGGGTGGGGAAGCAGGATAGAAGATACAGCGAGTGGAGCCCTGGACCTCAGCTGGGTGTAGGCAGGACAGCAGGGCATGGTCCCATATACCAGCCACTAGCCCTGCCCTGCCAAGGCTTCCTGCTGCCCAGAGGACCTCCACCAGGGCCCTCCCTGCAAGAGAAACTCAAGAATCAGTCCCTCACTCAGAAGTCCCTGGGCGTGAGGATTCAGCTGTGTCACTAATAATCCATGCTTGCTGAGCCCAGGTAGGTATTGTGCTGCACATTTCTCTTTCATGATCTCATTTTACTCCCACAGCAGCCCCACAAGGTACACACTGTTATTATCCCCATTTTACAGACCAGGAGACTGAGGCTCAGTAGGGTTAAGGACCTGCCTAAGGGCTAGTAAATGGTGGTGCCAGAATTTGCACTGGGCAGTGTGACTCTCAGACCCTTAACCAGGACTGAACCAGAGTGTTTATTGTAGTGCTGAGTTTTGGGGCTTCACTTCAGCAGTTCTGAGTCAAAAAGACTAGGGTGGGCCTAGGAATATGCATTAACCTAGGTGGTTCTGATACAGTGGGCCAAGCTCTGGGAAGCACAGCCTGAGGGCAGATCTCCAGGCACCTTGGGAAAAATCTACCTCCTTTGGTGGGCTGGAAAATTCTGTCTGCTGAAAGCAAGCAAATTGAGTCCTGAGATCTGCTCCCAGGCCCGTCCAACCCACAAGGAGTCTTGCTCTCAGGATTGGGGTGCAGTTCGGGGGTCAAGGCAGCAGGGACTGGAGGTAGTGCCTGTGTGAGGGCCTTGGGGAGATATTTTTTCACTTTTTATTTGTTTATTTAAATTTTTAAATATTTTGACCATATTACATGTCCACGAGGTCTTTTTATTTCCCTGACCGGGGATCGAACCTGCACCCCCCACATTGGCAGCACGGAGTCTTAACAACTGGACCCCTGGGGACGTCCCCACTTGGGAAAGATTTGTACCA